ACTAGGTTTAGTTCAGGCTGGGGGAGAGATAAGTTCAGAAAAATTCTGAACTTAACTAGGTTTAGTTCAGACTGGGAGAGATATAAGTTCAGAAAATTTCTGAACTTAGCTAGGTTTAGTTCAGGCTGGGAGAGAGATATGTTCAGAAATTTTCTGAACTTAACTAGGTTTAGTTCAGGCTGGAAGAGAGATAAGTTCAGAAAACTTCTGAACTTAACATATTTTAAATTAAATTATAATTATGCTAAGTTCAGAAATTTTCTGAACTTAACTAGGTTTAGTTCAGACTACTAGGCAGATAAGTTCAGAAGATTTCCAAAAACTTAGCTAAGTTTAGTTTAGACTGTGGGGGACATAAATTCAGATTTTTTTTGAACTTCACTAGGTTTAGTTCAGATTAAGATAGAAATAAATTCAAAAAAATAAAGTTTAATTCAAATTAGTATCAGTATAAGTTCAAATTGTTTTTCTTCACTTAACTGGGTTTAGTTAGGCTAGAATATAGATAAATTCAGAAAAACAATTTCTGAACCTATATATGTTGAATTCCAACTGCAAAATACAGCTTTTTTTAATCTTATACATATAAATACATACAAATTATTATAACTAAACATTTTCTGAAACTATGATTCTTTGACTCATTTAATTAAATTTAATTGATCAATATTTATATTTTGTAACTTTTCGAATCTGATATGTGAATCAAATTATTAAGTTGTAGCTTTATTTATTGTATTTTATATTTTCTTGAAAACACAATAAATTTGGAAAATAAAATAAACCTACACTGAATATGAATATTTTTTATAATTGTTTTTTATAATCAATTTGATATTTTTCTTTAAAATTCAATACTAACATGTCATGTTACAAAAAAAAAGGTTGGAAACAACACAATCAATAGTTGCATCTATTGATTGTTGATATTATGCTGTATGCATTTAACAAAATGCTGTGTTGTTTTCAATGCATATGTTCCAAATGAGTTGTTACAACGTAAGAAAACACATTTGTTTATTCAGATACAAATCGATGTGAAATACATGTGCACCCATGCCATTGCAAGATACATTACAAGATTTGTTTGGCGACAGCCGTCATCGCGATTTGCTCTGCTGCATCCAGCCACTTTGGCAGCTTGTGTTGGTGCAACGTGGTTTCATTTGGAAAGCGACGGCTCGTACCTCTGCTTGCGTTGAAAAATGCCTGCGTCTAATGAGGCTGGCTGCTGTGTGCTACAAGTTGAAGCTAGTTCAGGTCTAAAAGTATTTCAGCATATGGCAAAATAATCTCTTTGCCTGGAACTGACTTAAGAGGAAGGGTCTTGTGCTGCAGCTCGTGATATGTGCATGTCATGGATTGTGCTCGCGACAGCCGTGGTTATCATGGATTGCAACATAATGTGTGTGGATGCACTAGTTGCAGGAAGACTGCAGGAAAACATATAGAATCAAATTCTCCAGCTTCATGATTGCACTTGTCATGATTCATGTTTGGTTGCTGAGGTTTCCTTTCCACAGCTCAAATGATACCGCGAAAGTGGTTATCTACATGCTTTCTTCCTAGCATTTCCTCATTTCCGAACAGTTATAACAGTTACAAAATGAGACAAAAAACAATTATAACAGTTACAAAAACAGTTATACCAGTTACAAGTAAGACTTATAACTGGTCAGATCACGACTTATAACTGTTAAAATAACTGTTATAAGTAGCTTATAACTGTTACTTATAACTGTAAGTAGCAGTTCAGTTATAACTGTAAAAGGCCTTAACTGTATATTATAAGCGGATACCATAAAACCAAATATGGTGTGTTGCATAGTGGTTTGCTAAGAACTGCGTCCGATACAAACTACATTCTACCAGCAAATTTCCAGAATCGGCCCAATTATTAGTTTCTCTTAAAATTAGTTTTTCACCCCAACCCCAATAAGATCACCTTGTACATTGGCTGCCAAATGATCAGTTTAATACGTAAATCATGGAAGTAAATGGGGCATTCTCCATAGCTATTTTAATTTATGGAAGGGTATATCCATTAATATCCCAGTATTATCCCATCATCCCCCCATTATCATACATATTGAACCATATGAATATCAAACCATTTCAGACCCAAAAACATAATGCCTGCAACCCTCAATAAATGCTGATTTGGAAGTTGCGATTATGCCCATTATGTCCACGGAAGTGGGAACATTTTGCTGAAGTAAACTCTTGAACTATGGTGAAACGTTTTTTCTGGTACATGGTGGGCATTCACCGCCTGCTCCCGGCAGCGAGGGGAAAATGATGTCTCCTAACCTCAGGTAGCGCACAGATTCATGGGGGCATCCTGATACCATGGGGTCCCTCATTGACCATCTGGTCATCGTTTACAGAGCTATGAATGCCATATAATGCCATGGAAAAGCAATAGTGTTTATTTCCATTATCAAAGGGTAGAGGCCATCCTGATTTGGCAATTTGGTATGATTTGGTTCCATGACGTTCCATGTCAAAAAAAATGTATCAAATTAATCTCAATTGCACAGAACTGAGGTTGGCAAGCCTCAAAAATATCAGTCACATGCTCGTTTTAGCCTCGTGAAGTTGGCACAGGACATCTCCAGATTTAATGGTCAAACCTATATATAAACAATGGGCATTCAGCGAATCGACATGAAGGTGACCATCCCAAAGATAAGTTTTTTTTTCCAAAAAAATGATTGATCTGATTATTAGCGTCACCTTCAGGATGTTTATCTTATCTGATCTGATCTGATTATTAGCGTCTTGGCGGTTAATAAACCCTTTCGGGATCTGCCATGCCATGGCCCAACAGCCGAATCCCCCAATATTCAACACCCCCTCAATGGTCCCAAATATGTGTCCATCCCCTGCTGAACCAGGGTTTCCTAGGGATGTTTGACGGGTTCTTTTTTTTGTTCACCTCTGATGTTCCAACTCTCCACTCCACCTTCAGTGGCCAAAGAGGTAAAGGCTGCGCACCACACTTCCAAAAGTGGGGCCTGATTTGAACTGCCAAATCCCAGAGGCCTGTAGCAGAGCCACCAATCCACATCTCGAGACGCCATCAATCATTCCTCAAGCCGGCCCTTGGGTCCTCCAAGTCTTCCTTCTCAATCTGTTTGCATTGAGGAACCTGGTCTTGCTGCGCTCATCCATGAATTCCACCAATGGTCTCTTTCGCTTGATGAGCTCTTCAGCGTCACTTTCACTCATCTCGCAGAGAACCACCAAAAAAAAGGCCAGTGCCATGGTAGGAGCCCGATGCTGGCCGCGTTTTTGCAGTGGATAAAAATGGGGTGGCCACCCTCCAAGAACTCTTTAGCTCGGACCAGCTAAAGTTTACACATCTCTTTTAAACGTCCGAGCTAAAGGGATGTTTGATGGGTTCGAAATCGCTACCGACTGACAATGAATACTGATACCATCCATTGGCCATTGGTGCTGAGTACATCCCACCCTTGTGCATGGACTCCCGGCACAATAGAATCTCCCCGTCAAAACAAAAACAAACCTATCTGCTACCGCTCATTCGCAAAGTTCATAATACAAAATCACCGAAATGCCACTTAGATTTCGCCAAATCATATTGAACATTGAACATATATTGAACATATTAAATATATATATATACAGTATATATCTTGAACACATGTCCATTATCACCTGCCTCACTCGACCCCTGTCGCTCCAAACGTCCCAGCAACTCATCCTCCATCGCCGTTGCCGTTGGCGCGGTCTTCGGCGCGGAGCTCGTGGAGAGCTTCAAGGCCTGGATGTCGATCTCCGGGGCCGCAGAGCCCAAGGGATCTTCGACCTCTGCCGCCGCCTTGGACAGTATGGGCCATGGGATGCTGGGTTCAGGTGCTTCCAAATGCTGGGTTTGTCACTGAACAACGAGTTATGAAGGTATATATAGATAGATAGATAGATAGATAGATAGATAGATATATATATATATATTATACGTATAATATAGATATAGAAATATATACCTGGAACCTCCAGGTGATGTATAATTTCTGACCCTAATGGAATATCATGACTTTCAGATTGTGGCCGGATTCTGATGCCAGGGTCGTTTCTTCTATTTTCATGGTTTCTAGCTTCATTATAAATATGACTCCCAAGGATTTACCACTTCCCACTCAGGCCCACAACTGCGCTGCGCTGAAGAGTGGATCAATCAACATGGGTGAACATGAAGCAACAGAAGTCACACAAAATTAGGGGCTTTCCACATGGCTTCCATTGGGATACATCTATAGTGATCTTGCCCAATTTCAACTAGTAAGGAGCAAACTGAAAGCATAAACAGTGGTTCCTGCTCTCCATTTTTTCATGTCAACTGCCACGCCATTTGGTGTCTGCTGCGGCCGGGCCCTCTGCAAACAGTGGATTAGGTGGAGTGGTCGGGACAGGTTGCGGGGTCCAACTGCATGATGTTTTGGAACCACACATGCAAAAAATATCGAAAAGTGCTGGTGACCATGGATCCCCTCTTTTTCCTCCACCACTTCCATAGCTACCATTCTTGTTTGGAGGTGAGATGAGCCGTGCGGCAGCAAACTTCTCCTCTTTGACTCAGGCCACCCTTCCATGTTTGCGGCCCTCCAGGGGAGATTAAGGGCCAGATGTTTCACTCTGGCATCTCCTTGTTTCATTCTAGCTCATCATTTGATTCTACGCACACTACAAACTCATCATCTCAGTTGTGGTCATGGCTGACCCTTTCGGAATTCATGGGTACATCGGACACCCTGGATCTAAAAACAAATGTTGAGAATACTTTCAGAACCTTGGTATGGCTGCAGCCATAACTCTCCATGTGCGTATATCAGTGCATCGAACATCTTATGAAAACCGAAAGCTGTCACCCTTTACGCAGTTGTGATTCCCTATGAAACCAACAAATTGTATGTGGAACCATCCTTGATGATAACAAAAAAATGATTGACATCTTCTTTCATTCTGTGCCTCTAGCCATGCCTCCCCATTCCTATGATGATGAGAAGGATGACGTGGTACTCGATCCCAAGTCACTTGCTGGGATCTTGGATTCGTCTGACTACATCAGAGCTCGCCTGCGGTTCAAGGAGGAGGGGAGGCTTCTTCGGTGGCCAAAGGGCAAAGATGGGCAGGTGCTAGTGGGAAGCATTACTATGGTTTCCGTTGCCCACAACGTGAAGGCACTCACCTTGTTGGCTAAGTATTGGTGCCCACAAGCCAAACTCAAAAAGAATGTCATTGAAGGACCTGACATTGAGCTTGTGAGAAAGGAGGCCAGGTTCGAACAAAATCCAATTACCATCAATATATACAAAGCACAAGATAATTCTTAAGTTGTTCTTTGTGGGTTAATATGACCATTCAAATTTGCTACAGCCTTTGACTTCCCTATTGCATCATTCTTGGTTCCAAGTGTTCCGGGATTTGGGGTATGAATTGGGCTTAAAACAGTTGTGGAAGGTCCTGTTGCTTCAAGTAGGTAAGAAGTTCGCATGTCAAGCTGAGAACCATCAGTCCTCCATATGTGTTTGTTTATCATCATCCCTGCCAGGTGTTCCAATTGAAGTCTGCAGCAAAGTTTCCCTTGAACCCGGCATTGCTACAAGTAGATTCGTGGGGGCTGAAAAAGCTTTTCTCATATGCGGGTCGCAAAGCCGGTTTCTGGAAGAACGGGAAGAGCCCTAAGCGACGGGAAACTTGGGATGGTACGTTATTTACCACATTTCTTTGATATGTGAAACTTTCAACATCTAATATATAATTTGGGGAATTGTCATCTGGGTGGGTTTACACCTCTTGTTCCATTCTTACTGGTTCAGCCTTGCCACACATGTAAAAGCCCAATAAGGTATGTTTTGTGTTGTTCTGGGGCTTTAGTTTTTGTTACCCAAAATTTCAACAATAAGGATCCAGTGGTGGAGGAATTCTACTCAGAGCTTTTTAAGCACTGGCGTTTGAAGAAGGGAGTGAACATTCCCTGCGTAGAGATTGACGATGACAAGGATGATCCCAATTTTGATCTTGATGCCTTGTTCGAGGTGAAGGCTGAGCCAGGGGAAGAGTTATCAGATGACGACAGTGATGTGGAACTCACAGACCAGCAGGACCCCTACATGGCTGTGATGGATTTGACCGAGAACCAGGGAGACAAGACCGACGAAGACAACAAGAACGCAGTTGATCCACCTGCAGGACAAGCAGTTGAAGCAACCCAGAGAAAAGACCAACAAAGTGAAAGTGGGGATGCTGTTTCAGTGGGGGTTCCCAAAGGTGAGGTTGCTGCAGATCCCCAAGAACCTTCATCTGTGAAAAGTGTCCCTGAATCTGTTCGTCCCAGCACCACATGCCCTGCACCATCAGCTATCCCAGAGAAGAAGCAGAATGCAGCTCTTGATGAAAGAATTGCCCGCTTGAAGTTACTGAACCTGAATGGATGGTGTAAACAACTTTGCTGTTTCAAAGAGTGTGGTCCAGTCAACAATTTTAAAGGTGTTGATTGGTTGCCACGCTTATCCCAGATCTGATTTTGCGTACTATAAGCTTCCCTCTCCCTAGGTTTGAACTGGCTCAGCGCCGTGCAGCCAAAGCTGGCCACATCGACACCGTGGACACTCAACCTTTTGAGGCGACCCTGGCAGCAGAACGCTTTGAGCAAGGTTCCCCTCCAGTTGTCAGCAGTCAGGTGGCACCACCTGAGGAGCAACCTGATCGGGTGTGTAGGTCTTTGGCACGTGATTTTAGCAATGCTAACCTTGGCAAACCCGATGACAACACAGGCCTGGTTTTGGGAATATATTTTTGTATATATGCTTCTGTTTGTGTGATGTTTCACTGTGTTTCAAACATTTTGAAAAACCGGGGCATGCAAGTTTGGTTATACTTTTCTGACAGTGGTTGAGATTTATTTCCATGTTCCCTTATCAAGAGTTTTGTGCCCTAAACATAAGGGTCAGTAAGCTTTAGCAGTACCTGGCTGAGGTCGTCCTCAGGTGAGCTTGGTTGATACACCTGGTGAAGAGCTTCACACAGCATCTGGCAATGGCCAAGGCAACGCGGCAACTCAGGACACTTCCGCCACTCCTTTGCATCACCCCGAAGCATCAGCCCCAAAGGGTTTGGATGAGGCATTGGGAGGAGGTTCAGGGAAGCAAGAGGTTCAGGAATCAAAGAAGGATGTGAAGGATGAGAAGGAGGTGGAGGAACGACAGCAGGATGTGAAGGATGAGAAAGAGGTGGAGGAATCAAAGGAGGATATGAAGGATGAGAAAGAGGTGGAGGAACGAAAGAAGGTCATGAAGGATGAGAAAGAGGTGGGGGAATCAAAGAAGGATGTGAAGGATGAGGAGGTGGAGGAACCAAAGGAAGATGTGAAGGATGAGAAAGAGGTGGAGGAACGAAAGAATGTCGTGAAGGATGAGAAAGAGGTGGGGGAATCAAAGGAGGATGTGAGGGATGTAGTAGGTGAAGCAGCTTTGGAGAGGAAGGAGCGAAGGGCGCATGAAGATGAGGTGGAAAATGATCAGGAACAGGCGGAGGAACACACAGTGACACACGATGAGTCTCTTGAGCAAGGCACAGCAACCCTCGAACCCCGACAGCACCCTAGTGAAAATACTGGGCAAGTTGATGACAGTCAGCATGTTCTTGAACCTGTGTCGAAAAAGGCCAAGACCAAGAAGTGTGACACTGCACCCCCGGTAGTGCTAGAGGTTGAGGAAACCCAAGTTGAGACCATTGAGGATGACAACCCCCCTGCCGAGACACTCGAGGACGATGTGCCATTAGTTACACGTGTAAGCCAATGGGCCCAGAAACCAAAAGCTAAGGCAAAGGGCAAGGCGAAGGCAAAGGCAAAGGGAAAGCCGGAGGGCAAAGGTAAGAGAAAAAAAACAGAAGACACCCCAACACCCAAGTCCAAGGCAAAAGCAGCAGCGAAACGAAAGTGCAAGAAAGGTTCCGCACCAGTGGAGGTTGTTGCATCAGATGATGAAGGCAATGCTGCACCTGAGGCAGAGGAGACAGAAGTGGCATCACAGCAGGCTTCGTCCAAGAAGAAGGTTCGCAGCAGGGCTGTTAGAAAGGCCACGGGCAAGGCAAAGTCAAAAGCAAACGCCGCTGCATCGGCTGCAAGCACTGAAGACACAGCAAACAAACGCAAGGAGCAGGACAATGTCAAGTATGAGGTTGTCAACCAAGAAGGGAAGACTGACATTAATTCTGCCTTTGGGTGGGAGGAGGAGGAGCAGGAGCAGGATCACCAGCAAGGAGAATCAAGTGCCAGCAGCAATTTGGACACAGAGGAAAGCAGCACAGCCCCATCTCAGCAGCAGCCAGCCCCAGAGGAGCATGAGGAGCCTGAGGATCCGAAGGAGCCCAAGCTGCCATCCTTTGCCCGTCGACCCGCCCCCAAACGTAAGCTAGAATCTAACAGGTGGCATGCTATCAGGGACACGTTCGATTTTCACGTGAGTCAGCACGTGCTTGCTGTTGGCTTTGCACCTTACAAATGGGAGGCAGGTTTGAAGAAAAATGCGGTGTGGTGTGGTGTATGTTTTTTCCCTTGGGTTTGGAAAGGGATAGACCATAATAGACCTATTTTATTTTCTTAATTTTTGGTAGTCAGGATATCCAAGATATAAAGCTGGTGTTTGATTGGGCGTATTTTGTTTGGCTGTCATTTACACTTACCTTGCGGTTCTCCAACATGTAAAATCAGGTGGAGTGGTGGGAGTGGTGCATGAAGGCCTTTGGCCAGGATCAGTCGCTGGAGGAAAAGACGCAGTTCACGGAGGCTGCATTCAAACAAATCCAGCCCTTCCTGAAGGATACCTGCTTAGAGCTGACGTGGGACGATTGATTTCCCAGCTTGGAGTGAGATGAGATTTGTGGTTTTTACAGGTCCCTCCGCTGGCATGTACCCAACATTACCCAACTATACTTGTAAAAATATATTTAAAATTATATAGCCTGGCTAGGGTGACAAAAAAACACAAGTATAAAACCACCCTGTATGGGGAGTTCATTGGCCGTTTTGCTTTTGGAAGGGGCCTGTAGGGGAGTTCATTTTGGGGCTGGCTGTTGAATCAGCACTGTGCTGCTTCCAAACATCAACAGCCACGTTTTGCCATGGTGCCGTGCAGCTACAATTGCTGCATGCAAACAATCCAAGTTCCGTTAAGATCCAGTGGGGGTATTTGCAACGATTGCGTTTGTCAACGCATTAATGCGCGCTTTGGCATGCGGCCGGCAGTGGAAAAAAAAACGATTGTTTGAGTTTGAAGATTGCATTGACCAAGGGGTGATTTATCCACAAAAGAAATCATTGGTGTTTTCAACTTCTGAGAAATTCCACATGTATACAACTTATGTTACCTGATGGCTCCTACTTTCATCATCCTGGGTTACTTCCACTTTGTGTCCCCCACCTTGCTGGTGCCGCTGCCAGGTCTATGCCGTATGGATTACCACGAGGATCCTTGAACCTGGCCAAATTTGGAGTGGGCCCGCGATCCGTTCGAGGTGACCAGGGCTCGTTGATTGTGTTGCAAGTTGCTAGCTCGATGAATTTCAAACATGTTTTACTCATGTCTGATGTTACAGATTCGCGCAGTGTCCTCTACAGAAGTGTTGGCTAAAAACAGGTTTGGGATGGAGAAATGCCACTGAATTGCAGCCTCAAATCGTTTGATTGTTTCCTCCATTCCTATAGTATTTATTTTATAGATATCAATCAAGATGGATGGTTGTACTTTTCCACAAGACTACAAAACACTACCTTTCTAAAGGCTCTACAACATATATATACACATCAAGGCAGCATATGAAAACAACCAAAGATACATTCTATGTGTAAATTATATGGTCTTTACTCACTATACGGTACGCGTCGGCAGCGGTCCCTATCCAGCAATGACCCCTGCTCAATTTGACCTGATGATGAAGCGTATCATAGCTGTGGGCACACCAAAGGAATCTTGGTGTGCATCAGTTTGAATGTGGGAATGCAATCCAAAGAAATGGTTATACATGGCCTTATATATATACACTTCATATCCCATATTCTCAAACCAAGGTGGTGGTGCTCCTGATACTCTTGGTTTGGTGGCTTGATCTGCCAAAATGCGATGCTGGCCCATATCAAGTGCTGGAGTACTTTGCTGGTGTGGGGCGAATTGCTGCCATAGGAAAATTTACCGGACTCACATCCGCAGCACTAGACATATCTTGTGGAGAACATCTTGGGAAGCGGATGGGGAAGCGAAAGAGGTCCCCAATGGATTTGAATAGTGATGCTGGCCTAGTGCTTCTAGCTTGCAAGCATGTTTGAAAAAAAGATATCTCACAAACCCTAGAATAAGTGTCATTCAGACTGGCCCTCCAAAAAAGTAGGATCCATTGAAGGTCGAGTGGGTCCAGCTACAGATGATTGAATTTGTTTTAAGATTTCCAACTGTCCAATTGCCAAAAGCAACAGCCGCAATCTGAGGTTAGCCATTCACCTACTGCTATGTTCAGAATGGGAAGCCATCTGCACCTTCTTAGCAATTGTGTGTTCGTCATGGACGCCCGTCAATCGCGGATCGACTGGGCGTGGGATTCTTACCCCACTAGGGAATGAAGACTTTGTTGCAGTTAGACGATCTAACAAATTAGTATCAAGGCCGGAACTGTGCAAATTTTTCCCCATCCAAAGATGTTTATTACTGGAAACGTAGGTTCTTTAATTTCCCTTGAACTGAATAGTGGGGTGTACCATAATGACATTATATATCCATTATTGGCCCCTGTGTTTTCCATTCAAGCTTCCCGAGGGTCTCTATGGTTTTGTATTATTTCCTGGTATCATTGAAAACATACTAATATCCATATATGAAAAACTGAAGAATGACTTTTCTGAATCTATCATGGGGATATATCTTTCTTAGCCCCTGAAGAAGCTGCATCTTGATGCTCATCTCTTGGGCAATGGGTGGATTTTTCCTGGTGGAAAACCCGTGTAACTCCCTCATCGCCTTGCATCCTCGGTGGGTGTGGCTTCTCGATGCTTTGAAGAAGCATGGTGAGTTGGTGCCTTGGCTGTCGAAAGGCTTCATCGCTGCTAGGGTTTTGATTTTTTGGGAATGAAATTGTGTGTTGGTATATATAGTTTATATATATATATGTGGTTCCATGCATATACTAGCTAATACTGCTATGGTGTTTTTGTGAAGGGTTTCACTGCCCAACTAAGATCCGAAAAGTTTCTTTTTGGATGAGAAAATATGGCAGCCTCAGCTGGAAACGTACATGGTTGTGGGCAAACACTCCCCGCATTGCTCAGCTGGACAAGGGGCCACTTACCGATGCAGAGAAGAGCACTTCTCGTCCTACAACAACTCGCTATATTGACAAATCGGGTAAGGCCAAATTCAAAGGCAATTCCTCTTTGAAGGCTTCTCAGAATCTTGACGTTTATATAGCGGTTTGCAAATATGCTCATAAGAAATGATTTACCTAAGCTATATTATACTTTTTTGGGGGAAATGGGGGCCCCCCTGAGGACTTATACTTACAAGTATGCAGCAAAGTTGGTGCACATGGTGCCAGACCTTCGTGCTGACGCGCAGGGGCGCACTTTTCCATTGGAGGCGTCCCCAATTGCAATTCCAAAGGGCCCGTAAAGACCATTATAACATGTCCTTTTGAACATTTTACTTGGGATCTTTTTGGGTTGGACATCAGCCCACTAAAGAATCAGATTTTAGCATAATTATACTGCCATTTATTATGATATAGCTAAATTATTTGATATATTATGTAACCCCCGGTAAGCCACTTATATATATATATATTAATTATATATATGATATATTCTGTAACCCCCAGCAAGTCACTTCTCCCTTTTGTGGGTCTATATACCAAAGCTGTGGCAGGTTTCTTCATCACCCCTCCAAGAGCAGTTTGCAGCCATGGTCTACGATGAAGAGGGCCATGCTTGGGAGAGAGAATCGGACCTACGTTTTGTAATCCGTTATGCCCGGGGGTCAAAAAAACTTCAAATACCCGAAGATTGGAGGGAACTTTTGCCCACTGCCATCTGATTAGTGGTGGCTGCATGTACAGTTTCCAATTTGGAGGGTTGTATTGGACTCCCAATTAATTCTTTGCGGTGGCAACGCAGCCCAGTTGCAGCGTGGTAGAGTGATAGAGTCGGATTGAATCCTCCAGCAAAGCAATCAGTGTGCTTTTGGGTAAAAAATTGTGGTGGCCCATGATTTGAGGTAACAATCGAAAATGTTATAGGACCATTGTATATCAAAAACAAATCCGTAAAACCTCTGAAGTATCATTATGTCACTTCAGTGCTTTTGGTGGAACATTGACCTGGTACTAATTCAAAGTGTTCGGCATGATTTCTCCAACTCATGGGCAAATCTCCAAATGAAAGGGTTAAAAACTCAGAAGCCAAGGTATATCTATGAACTCAGGCCCTGAGTAAACATTAGGTATGTGTTTGGCATGATTGCTCAAACTCTGGGCAAATCTCCAAATGAAAGGGTTAAAAACTCAGAAGTCAAGGTATATATCAATGAACTCAGGCCCTGAGTAAACATTAGGTATACCACTTCAGGACCCCAAACCCCCCAAACCAAAAATAATGAAAATTTTAGGGGCGGATTTTCCCGGTCTAGGGTCGGATTTTCCCGGTCTAGGGTCGGATTTCCCCGGTCTGGGATTTTTGAAGTTGGCCCAAACAGGTTTTATGACCTTTTAAGTTAAAACTTCAGGGGTGCCCACCAAGAGACTTCAGGGGTCCCAGCAAAGAGACTTCAGGGATTTGCGCTTAGAGTTTTCATGATAGCCACAAAGAGTCTTCAGGGGCCCGGTAAAGAAACTTCAGGGGTAAAGCATTTCAGAATATATTTTGTACTCTGGAATTCCTAGCTGGAAGTTTGGTAAAGCCACAATTGTGACACACCATTGTCCAACGTGTATATATTTACCTCAATACCGCAGCCTATTTAGGTGACCTTCATGCCTTGTCCACTTCAATCTAGGGTGTTCAGCACAGAAACGTTGGTTGACGGGCTGGACCTTGTTAAAGACATGTCCAGTCAGCCAAACCTTGATGCTATGAATGAAGCGGATATCGAGAGGGAACTCCAACGCTTAGAGGCCGGGTGGTTTAGCTTTTAGATATTGGCCTGCCGGTTTTTAAACTTTATTTCGATATGGGATTTGAACTACCCCAGTCATCCCAAGACATCCCATGTGAAGCCTTGAAGGCGGAGAAGCAGAAGCTCCAAGAAGGTGAACAGCGTCCTGTGCCGACACCAGTTCGTGCTTTGGGTGAAGCGGGGCCGGAGGATGAGACGGTTCCTGCAGACTTAGCCCCTTGCCACATGTCTACTGCACATAGTTTTTGTAATATTTGACACCTATGACCTGGTTTACCAAGTATGCATCCACACTTATACATGCATATATACGCACGATATATATATCAGCCCATTAGATCTCAGGAGCTTCCCGCTCCAAGCCAAGAGTATGCCCTTCCAGATGCCCCGGATCAGAAGGGTGATTCTCACAGTGATGACTCTTGGCCATGCTACTTCATTTTCAACGTGTGTCAATGTCAGTCATGGTTTATGAACCCCCCACCCTGGCCTGCAACTTGATCAGAAGCCACGCAGTCTCAGGATTCATTCGAAGTCCTGCAGCTTTCGCTGGATCCATACATGGGGCAGTTGGTGGAAGAACCTTTGGAGGCTTGGATGGATCAAATAATTTCTACAGTTCTACAACTTGTTTCAGAAACTAACTAAGGCCAGTAGAATAGTACCAAGAGTATATGTGCTGCATCTGCTGAATCTCTCTGTGCCATACATCCATGAGTAGCTTCACTCAAAGCTATACCATGCTATGCCTTGACAGGCTGGTGTTAATGGCTCGTATGAGTTGGACCTCATGGCTGCCTTGAAGGGTTTGGTAGAGGACGGGATCAGTGAGTATATATGACTGATGAGTGACATGTGCCCTTATCCATGGGCATGGCATGTTCTCTTTATTGGGCGCTGGTATAGACATGGTCAGGAAGAGTCTGCCCTCAAAGGGACTGATGATCCTGCACGTCCCACTCCAGGAGTTTCCTGGCTCTCATTCCTTCTGCGCATGGTTGTGGTGAATCCAACACCCAATGGTTTGTAATTATTTCCCTATCTCCTGACTACTTTCTTGCCTGAATCCAAGGATGTGCCCAAGGCTGAAGATCAACAGGGTGGTGACTCTGCACCGGCTCCCAGCCCTGTACCGAAAGTTCCCTGTTTGCAGTTAAACTTGGCGTGTCTTAAATTCCTCTGGCAAGTAATTTGCGAGAAGCAACGGTGTGTTTTCCTAACAGTTTCTGATTGCTCCAGGCTTCCGGTGGAGACAACAATGATGTGAAGGTACTTCGCCGATTGTTTACACCGCGTAAAGATGGAAGCTACTTAGTCCCCATGGAATTTGTCGAGAAATTCAAAGATATCGCTGGTGGTGGCAGGGCAGAGGTTTTGCGCTTATACAAAGACAAGTGCAATGGAAATAAGGACTGAAGGGGTGAGGCTTCATGTTTTTCAAACCCACCCGCATAGACACCAAATATAAATGTTACACGCATCACATTATGGATGTTAAAGCTGCGGTACTCAGAATCACTTGACCCTTCTGACAGCTACCCGGTCCTATTTTCCAGTAGTTGCCGCTCCCGCAGTCGCCGTAGGATTCCTTCATCCACACCTGTCGCAAGAAGGTGGAGCGAATCAAGGAAGACGACCTCTGGGCTGATGGAGAGTTCATGACCGAGCAAGATATGATTGATGACAACTACCGACAGGATCCTGTTTGCACTCTCAGCGGGCCGGGGTTTTAATATGGTTCTGCTTCTTGGGGCTAGCAACCAACATAGACGCATTCACTCTACAATGTGCTATACACAAGTGAATTGATGAAATCCAATTCAACATGCTTGTACACTTGCGCACTTGTGCAATGAATGTGTGGGGATGGAAGCCACACAAGCCCCATTCCCAATTTCCAAGTCAGGACCCGCATCCAAGCCATCATAGCGGAGTGCAGGAAGCACAAGGGTTGGGTCCGGCAACTTGGCATATAATACTTTCACGCCCCATAGCGATATGCCTCATTTTTGATCTCGACGTCTCCAGCAAAAAGCCCATATGCTCAGCTCACCTGGTGCTGCTCAGGAGAGACAAATATGAGAAGAACGTTGAATGCTTCTGGGTTGAGACCAAGGTTGGCGGCCGAAAGCTGCCACTAGGATGCACGAGGGGCTACAATATGTTACAATACCATGTCCTTGCCTAACCCTCTTGACTCTGGGGCCCCCTCTTGATCCTTGTAAATGTGACTCGTTCTGAATTCAACATGGGCTCTTGGCAAGCCAAGGAAAAGAAGGCGGGAAACCATTTGTGAGGATGACAGCATGTCGGAGGACGAAGCTGGGAAGTTCAAGAAGGAGTTTGATGATAATGCCATGCCTGGGGATTTTGATCTGCCAGAAGACACTACAGGTGCTATGGGATCAGGGTCATGCCTCAAAATTAAGCTCATATTTTGATCGACATGTGGTCCATCAGAAACGATTCTGAAAGAGTTGGTTCAAATATTTCAACAAAACAATCTAACACTCGCCCTGCAGACCCGGCAATTCTTGTTGAAGCTGATGGTGAAGCTGACACGAAGAAGGCTTTGAAACAGATTTGCTTTCCCCTCATGGATGATGATGGCTTGCCATCTTCGTATATCCAGAAGATCTTGGGGGCCATCGGAAAATGGAAACTCAAGATGCACGGTATCATCACATCTTTGTCCCTTTTGGAAGATCCACCAGAAACTGTTGAAGCGTTCCTCACAACAATTGGTGCATATGGTTTTCAGTCATCGGTGATTTTTGACTATCACACAATACAAATATAGTGTGATATAAAAGTTATATAATAAAATATATTATATTTTAAAACATGAAAAGGTATGATATATCACAATAAAAAAATATAATATAATACAAAATAATATCAAATATATTTAAAAAAACATAGCATGATAACATCCTGTTCTAAATGCTATAATATCATATGTTATTTGATTTAATACCATATACAATATCATATGTTTAAGTAATAAATAATATATCAAATATCATATATCATATATAGCATATAATTTGATATATTACAATATCATATAATTTTAAATAATACACTATTTTTAAAATATGAAATAAAACAATATAGGTTTATTTATTATAGAGTATTAGGTCGAACCTGTGTATAGATATATATGCATGGATAGCCTTTATTGTCCGCCGATGCCAGCTCAGGTTGGCCAAGCGAGCTGCTGATATCGATTCTGCCCTATGCAAGGTTGAGACGGAAATCACCCGTGTGAACACCAAGGGAATCATCGACAGTTTCTCCAGTGAGTTGCTTGGCTTCTTTGGCAATCCCAACCTGGCCCACCCCCAGTATAAATAAGTGCTGTTTTGGGTTGTTGGGCACACTGACATTCAGCTAAAGACGCCTGATGTAGTCTATCCGATATATCCCTTGTCACTCACCACCTCCCCAAAAGAAATAAATCCTCACATGTCCAAGGCACCAGGACGAGCTCGAATCTGTTTACAAAGATGCCAAGAAGGAGCGCCTTGTCAGCAGCATTGGGTGTGGTCCTACACTAATTAATTAGTTGGGTATTGTGCTTTCCTATGTGTAACAGCTGATGTCACAGACCCGGGAAACAGTGGGTGCACATGTTCATTTCTGCTGTGCATTTTTGGGCCCAAAAGATCAGTCCAACGAAGTTCCATAAAACTGACACCTCAGCTAAGTAGTGAACACCTTGTGACTCATAACTAATTTGATCTAAGTGTTTTTCACGCAACAAGACTTCAAGATTTTTTCATACCAAAAACCGTGACCCATCAAAACCCTTGGAAGATTCAATGAGGTATATATTTAATACACATTTTGTTTGTATTTTCCACCATCATCATTATACAGTCAATGTCTTTTATGTTCTACAATATCTTCCTCAATATTTCCTGCATGCCAAAATCCTGGAGCCATGGACTTTTTCATGGATCTCATGACCTACACATGCCCTTTTACTGGCCAAAAACGGTGCGCTGTGAATGCGGGGCTTGATGACTACCCATTGGTTAAGAGACCGCTTGTAGCACCTACCAAAGAAGATGCTTGGCAGGACCTTTAGGGTTGAAATGCCCCAAAAAATCAATCAAATGACAACTGTCTACATTCCTTTCAGAGCTATTTGAAGGGATGCAGGTTCAACCGCGCCTCAAATTGCATGAGCTGCTTGCATAAGGCACTCCGTGGTCCACACTCCTAGCCGGGGGTAAAGCTTATTTTGATCCACTAAATGTTGGGCTGTCCAGAAAACCTCAAACGCTTCTTTTTGTTTGCTGGGTGTTGATGTATTGTTTTCTTGGTTTGTATCTAAAACATCCAGGAAAATGAGGACCTGGGAAAAAATGAACAGATTGTCCGATCTGAGTCACAGAAAGTTGATTGGGATAGATTGCGAAGCCTCAACATCGACAACAAGACTATGAAGCTTTCATTGCGGAAGCCAACTTGTGGAAAGATCTTGGCCCATTGCAAGGCTCAAATTAGATCGTTCAGGGAATTTCTTGGTGGCTCTTTATGTATCTTCAAGATAGGTGTCACTGCTGACCCGGTGGTACGTTTTCAGGACTACTTGAACAAATCCTTTACCAACATGTGGGTCATTTACACCTGTGATGACTTGAATCTAATTCACATGTTGGAAGCAGCGCTGATTTCTGAGTTTCACATGCTGTCTGGATGCCGTAACGCACCAGATACTGGTGGGGAGGGAGGCCTCAACAGAAAGAATCACAGTGGCCCTCCATATTTTACTTACGTGACTGGTGGCCGGGCTGACCAACTAAAAAGGGTTGGATAGGATATACAGTGCAAAATTCGATTCGGTCAACTTACTTCGCCACTCTGGCCACAATGAAGGTTGTGGTTGCGATGGCAAATCTTAGGGCTGGAGAAAAAATGCTGTTCAGTGGTACGGATTTTTTGGGAGCTTCTGGCCCTTCCACTTTTGTTAATTCCACTTCTTGCTGTCCTTCTAGCCCTCTGTGGCCCGAGGTGCGCGGAAGCTTTGAGCCTTTGCACGCGTGGGCAGTGTGGAACCTGGATTTCCATATGTGGTCCAACTGAATAAGATGAGTTCAGCCGATGTTTGGAAAGATGTCTAAACACCCAAGGGATATTGGTCTATACAATGGTCTACACCAACTGTCTTGGGCCGAGGCCATTTATGAACCACATCAAAGCTGAGCAGAGAAAACGGGAACGGGATCGTGACGAGGGCAACACTCCCCCCCCGAAAAAGACCAAAGTAAAGACTGAACCAAAGTCTCGCAAGTAGAAGGTCAAAGAAACAGGTGACTATGACTATGTGAGCGGTACTGCTCCACAAGGGTTTGTTATGTGCCAGCCGTGACAACAGCACATTGGTTCATATTGATTCTAGACTCTAAAAAAACACCAGTGCATTGTGAAGGCTGTTTCTGGTATCATGTTGGCACATACTTTTTGGGGATGATGCCCAACAAGGGTGACAAACATCCTTGTGCAATGGGCAAAACGGAGAGCGATCACATGATGCAACACACGCCCGTGCGCACCATACGCTTTGGGGCCTGGAGAAAATGACTCACACTTGGATCCAGCAATGCAAAACAGCTTACACTGGTTCAACGAACATCAACTTGTATTCCCTGCCAACAGCTGTGCCAGGTCAAAATGATGCTGCCAATGACGTTGACAAGCCTTTATTGGAACATCTAATTGAAAAGGTTGCTGATGGGGTTTCTTGCATGCAATGGGGCTGCCACATTCCACTCAGAATTGCCTCCCAATCACCCCGGTCTTTTCGCCCAGGCTCCGGCAGTATCATTGGCTGAGCATGCTGATGCCCTGGCCGAGGAGATGGAAGGGGATGCGATGCAACTATCCACCAAAGATCTGGGTTGCCAGCGCAAGAACGCATCTAGGCAATATCAGCGAGCTGTCAAAGCCAATGGTTTTGCATTGACGCTCAGTTGGGTTACAAAAGTTTTTATACTGATGTGTTTTTGGAAAAGCCCTTGAACAAATGCTTCAATCTATGGGGTGTTTCGATCATTCGAAATGTTTCCCTTGAGGAAGGTTCCCACATCCTACCACGTGTTTGAAGAGGATGGGGTTACTGTCAGCTTGCCTTATTTGAAACCAACGCACATGCTCAACTATCTACTGACTGATGAGCCCTGGTTGCTTTTGGGTGGCTTGAAGCCTGGAGGAGAAGCACGGCAACTGTTGGCCACCTTTTGGAATCTTTACAGATCAGAGCATGGGTCCCATGAAGTGTTTCGAATGGCAGCTGAGAACAAGATTCGTTTGGACCAAACAATCCCATTGATTTTGCATGGGGATTCTGGACGCACCCTCAAAAAGCAACCATTGGAGGTGCTTAGTTTTAGGCCTGCACTGGGGCTTGACACAGAGGCTAACATTCTCAAATGCAAGTGCAGCCAAACCTCGACCTACAGTGGTGCTAGGAAGTCTAGTCCCATGGCCCAAAGATTGAACAACAAGCACTCCAGTTACCTCACGCACTTCTCACTTGTGCGTTCCCCAGCAAGAAATTCAAATCGACGCCTGGGTTGCTGATGTCGATGCTTGAAGCGATGTCCATGGACCTCAGGGTCGCTTGCTGGGACGGCATTGCTATCGGCAATACTGTCTATCATGTTGCTATATTGGGAATGGCTGGTGATTTCGAGTGGCATGCAAAGACAGGCTTACTCAATCGCTCTTACCAGAACGTTGGGCACAAGAATTTCATTCCATGCTGCAGTGAATGTCTGGCAGGTTCTATGCAGTTTCCATTCGAAGAAGTTTCTTCAAATCCTAAATGGAAGGATTCACTGTATCGAAGCCCGCCATGGACAGAATTACCCCCATTTCGGCACATCCCATTTACTGACTGGAACTCTGGCGAAGCAGCACGGTTCTTTAAGAAAGACCCTTTTCATATTTGTCGGCTTGGCATATTTCGAAACTTCATTGGTTCAACAATCGTTCTCCTATGTTTGGAAGGTGTGTTTGACATTCAGGGTGCATCACGCGCCATTCAAGAGAGATTGGCACGTGCTTGGATGGCTTTCACATTGTGGTGTGACACGCACTCTGTTTCGACTAGCGGGGTTCGGTCGTTTTCAAAGGAGAAGCTCCACATGCCAACAATGGGGTCATTTCCTTGGCTAGGCTGCAAGGGAAGTGATTCCATTCTGCTGCTCAGGTGGCTACGATTTCTGGGTGGGCTTCAGCGAGTGGCAGATCCAGCTTCGATTGTTTTTCCCCTGATCGTTCAAGCTACTGACAGTGCACTGGCCTTTCAGGCCATACATCGGCATGGCATATGGTTGAAGAAGTCTTGCCGAAAGGGTATCTCGCGTTCAGCTTTGGGATTCGTTCAAAACTATGCAAGGCTTGCTCACAACACCTACCAGCGTCAGTTGCAATTGTATGCCATGGTGCCAAAGATCCACTCTATGCACCATTTTCCAGTGGAGCTAGAAACATCAGGTGAACATCTAGCTTGCAACCCTGCCCTGTTTGATTGCAGCATGAGTGAAGATTTTATCGGCCGCGTGGCTCGCCAGTCACGACGTGTATCTTATGTTAACATTGTTCACAACACCATCCTTGCATACAAAGTCAAAGCAAGGTTTGTTATCAAGCGTTTCAAGAAACAGAAGTTCAAGTGCTAGCCGCTTTGTTGCCAAAACAATTTCTATATTTGATAGCATTTGTTTCTGGTTTATGTTTGGGCTTATACCGGTTTACCCACAGTAAGCTGAAAGTTGGGAACCCTAACCAAAATAATCTTGAAAAACATCAGCAGCACAGTGGCAATAGAGCAGGCGAGTCACTTGATTGTATAGAAGGACGGTGAACCCATGGCTCGATTGGGAGCGAAGCCAAAATTGGAGGGGCTCATCGCGAGTGGTTTGATTGATGCTGAACTTTGCAATGATTGATCCTTTAAACAAGATTCAACACACTGAAATTACCCATTGTTCTTCATGATTATCGATTGGCTTCATGGACACTGCCGGCAAGAAGTGAGGCTGCAGCAAGGTGAAGTGGATGGGACAGCTGGAGATCCCCAAAACTCATAGAATCCAAAATTTCCAGGTACAGAAATTTTGATTGGGGTTTGTTTTCATTCTTGGAGCTTGGAATTTCTGTACCTGGCACTAGGTACGCAAATTATGCAGGGGTGGAAGCTTCAGGTATATATGTATAGAATAGATATGTCATGATATGTTGAAGGAGTTAGATCGGTTTCGAAACGTTTGATTGAGGAGATCTGCGGGGCATCGCTTTGTGTAAAAATCTCACAGATGCCAGGCATCATTGCAGGTTTGTTCCTATAGAATAGCTTCAAACATCCCAAAATACCTAAAGTCACTCTTTGGGATTACGTAAAGCATATACAAACACATCAATTCACTATGATTCGATGTGCCACCATATTCATCAAGAAACTGTTCAGTTGAAGTGCTAAACTCATAAATCTCATCGATCTTCCCATTTATCATAAGTTTCTGAATTCAACACATCTTGAACAAGTACATTCCCCATCCACCCAACCCATCCCATACCCCAGTTGATACCAAAGTTTTCCTGCTGCCATGGACCCCCAACCCATTCCCATCCGAACTCATCCCAAACCCTCGTGCTTGGATGTACATCCCAGGAATAAGTGGTTCATAACAGCATACGATAACGATAACCCTGTTACATACAGCAGTAGGATCAGTGACTTATATGAATAACCCAGCTTACCCGGTAAGGCACTGTAACATAGCCATGGCAAATTAGCCATTTTCAATGATTTACAGTGATTTTAACCGAAATATGGCCATCTTCCATTGCATCATTGCTCTGCAATCACTCTAGAGGGTATCCTCTGGTAAATTAACATAGATCCTGCCAGTCATCGGGGTTGGAAGATGAGTTTCTACTAAAAACGGTTTCTTTTCAGGGTCTACCATCTGGTTATGACTAACATAGCCATGGAAAGATCCACCATTTTTAATAGGTAAATCATCTATTTCTATGGGTAACAGCCCCCGGGCATCCCATGGCCCGCCTCCCTCCGCAAGGGCCGCCGGAAGCTCTGTGCGAACTCCGCATCCGTCGGCAGCGGCCGCGCGCTGCGGAAGTAGACGCCGCTGGTCTCAGCGTCCAGGTGCCCCACGCGCGAGAGGCGCTCCGGGTCGCTCAGCCTGCCTGAGATGCAAAAAACATTTACAGCAAAAACCCATGAAAAGTAGGGATCTAAGTACCCACAATGATGAGATTATGATGCATATACATATATATATATATATCTATCTATCCATCCATCTATCTATCTATACTTGGAGAATCATCCCACGAATCGTAATTGGTTCATAACCAATAGTTGGTTCAGCTATTTATGGGATACAGCAACCCACTGGATGGGGGATTCACGACTAACGATGACCAGGCTAAAGTTAATAACCACACACATACTAAGTGCGATGAACTTGAGTATCAGTATAAGGGGTTGGGAGAAAATGATTGAAGATATCATTGCTTAGTCTTGGATACTCTGCATATCTCTGCATTCTTGGAAAGGCTGCTTAGGCTAAGGCTACTTTATCCCCATGTATAGCGGTACTAAAATACCCAAGTTATGCCCAGGTGGCAAGACTAAACCAGGGTCAATGCGTTGGGTCAATGTTGGGAATTCTCTTTGAGCCGATGAAGACGATGCAAAGCCGAAGGTTCATGGTGTTCATGTGCTCCACGACTCACGGCTTTTTGAGGATCCATGTTTTCACACAAACTATCAAACTATCAAAATGCCTAAGAATCAACCGGTTTACAGTAACACAGCATTCCCATGATATTCCCATCAATATTCCCATCAGAATCAATATTCCCATGAAATCCCAAGCGACGTAAATCCACCTGTGGATCGAAGACGCCCACTCCGCGAGTTTTGGATCCTGGTTTTGGGGGTGACCATCGGATGAGCCGTCCAGCTAGAGTCCAGCCAGGTGGGAAATCACCTGTGGTAATCAAATTTGACGAAATCCCGGCACTAAATGGAGATGTTTGGCTGGGAAAATCATCTATTAAAATTATTGAATATTCTTAAATGTTTCCAGTGATCCATTGCCAGAATGTGGATTCAAAATTTAGGGGGCTAAACGGCTAAACATAGTGACATATGGTTTTCCGGACATTCTTGTAGACTCAACGGAAGGGGTTCACGAATCAAACTGAATCCATGGATCTAAACACCTCCGGAACACGTGGATGGTATACCCAGTAGCTAGTGCACCCCGGCAATCGGAAATGCCATGAAAATCAAATCTCCGACAGCTGATGTTCGATGAGCCTCTCTGCATATCTCTGCACAGTGATTCCAAGCTTGAATCGGAGTGCTTTTTTGGGAGATGTGTTCAACCAGTACTTTTCCAGACTTTTCCAGCTACAAACGGTCGATGGACTGTTCAACTGACGGTTGACGCTTCATCATCCTTAAAATCCTGTCCGAGAAACGATGCTGAAAGGCTTGCGCTGGTCGAGTTTCGTCTCCTGCAGTTGCGCCCAAAAAAAGGAGAGAGGGAAGCAGCAAACCACACATACATAAAATATGTTCAAACCGTTCAAAGAGCTGAACCTAAGCATGTCAGGAAGTATATATCTGCAGAACGCTCCAAAAAAGGTTCTACCTATTTAGCGGGAGTGTACTAGAATAAACTAGGAGATTCCTATGTAAGTTGATAAAAGCAAGCAAAACTATTCAAAACTGATGGCCATCACCCCATGATTGCTACTTAACATCCACAAATTCCCCCCGGGTTCAAAAACCTATATTGGAACATGCCGAAACCATAGTTGGCCAATGGTGTTTCCCACACTGGATCACGATCACCCCAAATATAAGTAGCATCAGTTTCTCAATTGCATCCTCACCTGTTTAACTCGTTTGATGGTTGAACATAATTATACAATGTACAAATGATGTCTCAAATGCCATGAAGGAAACTTGTTTATGTTGCTGCATGAAATGGTTGATTTCATGCAAAATCTTATATCACAAGTTCTACTGATGAAATTCCATGCTTTGATGTTTAGATCATAAATCAAGTTGTTTGTTAGTCAATTCTATTTTTGGCAGGTTAAAAAACATGGTTTAGCTGAAACTGCTGATATATTTTATCATTCTAACCACATTTTAATCGCATCAACATCGATTAACCGCACCATGTCCCTACTTCTGTAAATTGGTATATAAGCACGTTAACTAGGATTTATGGTAGATATATCAAACTGATTAGTTGGGTTTAAACTGTTTATAGCAAAAACTATTTTGTGGGCACCACCTTGTAGTAAGTGTATGATGATGCTACACCCACATATATTTGGGAATAAAACATCCGGTAACCCCAATAAAAACACCATCACATTATATAACCATCGACTTGGGGGGTCATATTACATCATTCCAAATAAGGGTTTACCATAGTTTACCCAAAACCACCTCTATTCAGGATGGTATATTATTGGGTTTACCGCATGAATACATTAATATCAACAAGTTCGCTAACCTTGTCAAGTCTCCAATTTTTTCCAGAGATGAGATGTGGTTCCGGAAATTTTAGTAGCTCTCAGTAGCTGCCCGTTTCATAGGGAATATGAATGCCCTTGCTCTGAAACGCTCCCTCCAACCACTCGATAGTTTTTCCTTGGGGAACTATCAGCCCATCCCTGACTCAAGTTCACCAAGTAACCTTGTAGAATATTTTTGTATTTAAATTATATTTATGAAAATGAAACAATACTTTAAAGGGTGTATACAGTATATTTGAGATCATGCATTCAGTCAGATAGGTAGGTAGTTAGATAGGTAGATAGGTAGATAGGTGGATAGGTGGATAGGTAGATAGGTAGATAGAAAGAAAGATAGGTAGATAGGTAGATAGGTAGATGTATATATATATATAATCTATATAAAGCTACCCCCCGTTCCCTGCCTTCTCCCGTGGTCGCTTCCAGCACGGCGACCGCCGTGCGCTGCTGCAGCTTCAACGCCTCCTCAGCCAGGCGCTGGTCCTCCAGCGCCAGCGAGTCCAGGTCCAGCGGCTCCGGCGCCACGGGGTCCTGGGGAAGGGAACAAAAACAAAGGATTAAAATAGGTGGTAATGATGGTTATTAATGGTGGTTAATGATCCTATTAATTGATGGTTATTAACCATGGTTAAGTAAAGTTGGTTAATGATTTTGAAAATAAGATTGTGTGAACCATCAAAAAGGATGGAGTGAACCATGGAATTAACACACAGAAAAATGATGGATTAAACCACCAACTAAAGTTAGTTAATGTTTTTTTTTGCCAGGGCTAATGCTCTCAGGGTTCATTCCACGAAAAAATGCTCTCCTGGAATGGTCATGTTGGGGTGCATGAGTATACATGCCATTTGAACAAGCATAAGCAACAGTACAAGTAGCTACCCAAATTTGAGTGGTTCTGTGGTATGGACCCATACTCAGCATGGGATGGGGGTCGAAGTTAGGAAGGCCCTCCAGTCAAACAGCGATTTTGGCCACGAATGCAAGAAACTGGATGGAAGTTTGGTGTGAAACAAAATCCAAGGACTGGATTCCGTCAGAAAAATATAAAACAGGGTCTGAAATGCACCCATGCCACAAAATGTTCATCTTCCAAAGCTCCAAAAACTTTTGCACAAGCTGGTGCCCCTAGTCATGAACCGCTTTAGTTTTACCATACACTGATAATTACGGTTAATACTGTTGGGGGGTTATATATATATATATGTATAAATATAAGTGTGTATATATGCATATATATATAGATAAATGTGCATATATATATATATATGTATATATATATACATGTATATATATATATATATGTATATAAAAATATATGTGTATATGTACACACACACACATATATATATATATGTACACATGTATACAAATAAGTTTTGATAGATATATATATATATATATATATGCATGTGTATATATATATATATATATACATAAATATAGGTGCATATGTTTATACATATATACATATACATATACATACACACACACACACATATATATATATATATATACACACATGCAAATACGAGGCTGGACCTCAGAAATGCTGCCAATAGCTTGCAAATAGAAGGGAAGGGGGTGCTACCTGGGGACCCATACCATTGGGGGGGGTTGGAACACGGAACGCGAGACCATCTCTGCTGGTGAAATCCCTCCGTTTTTCCTACACAAACATCCACCGGCCTCGCGCCTCGCCAGGCTCCTCTTCCAGGCCGGGTTCCTCGAACTCCTCAGCGTTGTCAGGCTGGAAAAACCATGAAAACACCATGAACAATGACGATGGTTGGATCTCATATCCCAGAAAAAACATATAAAACAATTATAATCCCATTAAACCTCCATTAGATCCCATAAAAAACACATGGTTGCACCATAAACCCCGCAGTTCCCCTGTCCCTGTCCCTTCCGCCAAGACACCCGTCGCGCCTTCCCCGAGCCGCCGCGCGTGGCGGGCAGCACGGGCAGCGCGCCGCCGGAAGTCTCCAGAGACGGCGCGTCGAAGGGCAGGCGGCGGAGGAAGGGCAACTCGTCCTGCCGGCTTTGATGGTTAATATATATATATTTATATATTATATATGATATATTTATAGTGATTGATGACGATTAATGGTTTGATAGTTAAGTATTTGGTTAATATATGGTTTTATATGGTTTATATGGTTCTACTGGGATAATCAATGGGACAATCAATGGCTTTGATGGCTAATTTTACAATATATCTCTGGGCTACTGGGAAATCATCGGATAAGATAAAAAATCCAAACCACCAAACAGATATGGTTTAATATCGGGTTAGGGATAATGCTCGGATAAGTGTGTCAATCAAACCATGGCTGGAAAATCCCTGAACTACGTAGAGGTGTCTTGCTGGGAAAATCATTTATCAATGGACTGGTTTAAGGGAAAATCTACAGGAAACCATAGTTTTTACCATTAAATATGGGGTTTCCTGCAATTTTTTACCTTAAACCAATCCATTGATAAATGGGGTATGTGTCATTGCCACGTTTGATTGCGTGAGGGTGTCTTACATAGTGTCTGGGTAACTTACAATATTTCACCAACCTGAAATAAAACCATTTGGGGATGATTTGCCTTACTCGCCATGATTCTAGTGAAGTCACTCTATTTTACACAAAAGCCTTGGTAAAACCTTTATTATACCAACTTAAAATATATATAGATTATCAAACTATTTCAGTTTACCACCATTAGGTTGGCTAACTAGTTGGTAAAGTGGACGATACTTAGGATATAGTATGATATAGTGGTTTATAAGCCATATTATTCCTGAGATTAACCTAATATTTGATGTTAATATGTCACTTCAATGTTGGTATGATCAAATATTACCCAACATTAGGACATACGATAATCCTATAGTATATACCTGGTTAATAGCAATTAATAATATAGGATATTATCCAATATTAGATGGGATAATACCCGGACAATATACCATGATATAGTGATGATATGGAACATGCTGGGATATACCTTACATAAATATAGGCATAAATATATATATATATACATATATATACATACATACATACATACATACATACATGCATACATGCATGCATGCATGCATACATGCATACATGCATACATGCATACATACATACATTAATACATTACATTACATTACATTACATTACATTACATTATATTATATTACATTACATTACATTACATTACATACATACATACATTACAGACATTACAATACATTTACATAACATACCATACCATACCGTACAATACATTTACATAACATAACATACCATACCATACCGTACAATACATAACATAACATAACTTAACATTACATCACATCACATTACATTACATTACATACATACATTACATATGATAAAACAAAAAATAATGTGATGACGATATGTGATTTCTTTAGAGCTCCCTGTCCTTCTTCTTCCGGCGCTGGCCTGGGCGGCTCCGTTGCAACTGTTCTATGGAAACGATGCTACCCTATACAAACATGAGAAACATATGGATATCAAAACATGCTACCTATGTAAATATCATCTAATATCCAAGCATCTATATGGATAGTTTATGGATATATTGTTCTGCTAGTAGCTACATTTCCCATGATGATGATGATGATGATGGTGATGACGATGATGATGGTGATGATGATGATGATGATGTACTTGTGGCATGCATGAAAAATCCAATACTGTATGTGAACCAAAAAACAAACAATTCAATAATCATAAGTCATAATGAATCTGCCCTCTGGCTATTTAACATAGACACGACGGGCCGTGGGATAAGCGATTCCTGGCTGGCAACCATCTGAAAAATTGATCTATCCCAAAATATATACAATTAAAATCTATTTACGAAGCAGATTCGAAAACAGAAAATAAAAGAATAGTGGAAACTAATCTTACAATCCCCCCACTCATGGCAGGGTCTATTTTCATTTTGGGAGGAAGATTCAAAAGATAATGTCACACAATCTTGGCAATTAAATACAATTATGTAATCTTTTTGGATAGCATAATTGGAGAACAATCTGATCGGACAACGCTCTCAATGTGATTTGTAAATATTGATTTCTAATTGAATCAACATACTTTGGCAAACACAGGTTGGATTAGCAATATTGCAAATCGGAGAAAAAACTTCAGTTTCCGTGAGAAAAAAACACACCATGGACATATGTCTAATCTGGTTGGTGGTATACCTATCCCTCTGAAAAATATGTGTTCGTCAGTTGGGATTTTCCCATATATATATATGGAAAGTCATAAAATTCCATGGTTCCAAACCAGCAAGAAATGGTCAATGGCAACAATGGGAGCACTTTCTAACAAACAGTGGGATGTCCTATACAAATTATCACTTGGAGTATATATATATACACATATACATATAATAACTGGTGATGTTCCATTAATGTAAGGATGGTATTCCTTTAGGGCTACATATTGATACTTAGTGGAACTGCACCCCCAATGCTAACCAGTTGCTTGGAGGATCATCCCACGGATCAGTGGTTAATAACCTATTCGTGATCGTAAGTTCACAATTCGTGGGGCCGTTATCCCATACACACACAGATATATATATATATATATATATGCAAATAATTATACATAACTGGGGAAACTAACCCCACCAGTCCTTACCAATTCCTGTCCAATTTTTCTTCATGCGCCATTCTAAGTGTCGCGCCTGTGGTCCAAATTTCTTCAAAGGAATTCGGATCCACCTGTAGCCCATGGGAAGTGCAAGGAACCATTAAACTGTTAGTGGATATGGAACTATAGTTATAAGGACCCCATATCCCAACAAACATGGGGGGTTTTAATACCATGGTTATACCCATAAGTTATTAACCTCTGGTCTGCACCCCTAAGCATTAATGGGGATCGATCGATTTTTGGAGAAGCCCTGGTGGTGTAGCAAACAAACCCTGTCCAAGCTTGCAATGGGGATGCTTGGAATTCCACATGACTTCTGGTACATCTGGCCAAATTCTGTTCAACACTTTAGGCATTCATAAACCCACAAAAAACTTTGGGTAGCTTCTTAAGAAAAACATATCACATCTTAATTCATGTTCCCATGCGTGTTCCTTAAATCCCATGATTTGTGTTTTCATTGTTCATGTTTGTTTTTCCCCAGATTCCAACCCTTGCCGCCAAGATGCAATCTTTGGGCTCAGGCCGGTAGCATAGTGATGAACTCCTCAAGGTGAAGGTGACATCCAAGGCCTCTGATTATCTTAACATACTATGGATAGTTGCGAAATCCTGCGCCAGTTGATAAGTTGTTAACATCCCATTATTTATAGGGGTTTCAACTTCAACCATCTTTTAGGTGGGGCAGGATTTCGCAACCATCCACAGTAGCTATGGAAACTGGCACAGCTGTATGATTTCTGATGATTTCTGATGATTTATCTATTAAAACATGGGTGATTTTCTATGGGATTTACCCTGTGGCATTCTTTTGTGGGATTCAATGGGGATCATTCCGGATTTACCCAACAAACATGGGATATTAAAAGGGAATACCATCTTATTATGTCTTACAGTTTGCCACGGAAGCCATAGAGTTCGAGCATTGATTTATCACGATTTTCCCATCATTACTGTAATTGTGATTTACCTGTAGCTACGTTCGACAAAGCAGAGGGTCACCATCAAAATGGAGATTTCTCATTGGATTTCACATGTTAAGAACAAGGCAAAGAAAAAGGTGCATGAATCATGGGATTTCAATGGAAGAATCAGGTTGGTTGAACAATCTAACATTTACCCTCTGGTAAACATACAAAAATCTATGGAACATCACCATTTTATAGCTTGGTAAATCAACTATAAATGGCAATTTTCAATAGCTTTTTGTAAGTTTTCCAGAGGGTGACTACACTTATCTTTTCACCACAATGTGTATTCAGTCGAACCATATTGGGAATTAAGCTCCATTGTTGGAATGACATTTTCAGGGACATCACCATGTTTTTTTGACCAATCTAACTTGAGATGTGGCCCCCAAATACCTATTTCTTTGTTAAACCCCTTTTATAAGTGCTCATACTATAACTTATGACCATATATCCTACTTATACTGTAACTCATAACCCCTATAGTTGTGGCAATCACCTGTTAAGTGGAACTTCGCCCCCAAATAGCCTACATCAGGATATCAAGTTGATCCCTTAAAATTCAAACAGCTCACTGAGATACAAAAACCTGTCTACAGCATGAAGCCCGTCTTGAAAAACTGCTTCCAATAGGGGAAGAGAAAACATCCCCTGCTTGGATGTATAACTATAGTAGCAACTCATGGGTCATATCCCAACAAACATGGGGGATTGCTCACCATGGTTACCCTCTGGTTATGTCAAAATAGCTATTGAAAATAGCCATTTATAGCTGATTTACCCATTATATAAACATAGTGATTTTCCATAGTTATGTTAGTTTACCAGAGGGTATACACATTAAAAGCAACCGCAACGGCCTGCACCCCCATTGCAGCTCCTTCTAGACAGTGAGGCGAGACGGACACCTCAAAAAAACAATCAGTTTGGTTCACCCTCCAAGCCGCAGCGGCTATACATCGGTGGATTTGGGGGTAACCTCTGGTAATTTAAGAGACCTATAGAAATCACCATTTGTAACTGTGTTACTGTTACAAATTTGTTTGTAAAAATTGGCCATGTTGGATAGTTATCTTGAATTACCAAAAGGTCTATATGCTTTTTATAGCCTCCTGTTTTCGACAAACATGGCTGTTGGTTTGTTCTTGGAAGAGTCGTCCACCGCTGGAGGAGGTGACCATCACCACTAGCACCGGCCCAAGTAACTTAATGTTGTTAAAACAATGCCATTGGCACCATCCATTTGGGAATGGTTTATAAAAGTTTATACCACCTATAAAAATGGTGACATTGGGGGTGGTTTATGATTGTTTTACCAACATTACATCTGTTTTGGCTGCTTCAATTACCTCCTTCTATGGCATTCGTATTGGCGCACAGGCGGACCTGCACGGGAACCCATAAATCGATATAAACTATGGTAGTTCAGCTGTACCCTCTCGTTATGTCAACAGTTTGCTATTGAAAATGGCCATAGAAATAGTTGATTTTCCCATGAAACATCGTGATTTTCCATAGTTATGTTAGTTTACCAGAGGGTACCATGTCTAGAACCCATTTTGGGATGATTCCCCGACATTTATTATCATGTACCTAGTGATGTTACAGGGTCGTCTGGTGATCACATGATCACATTGATCCATTATGTATACAAATGATACCTAATTACACAACAAAATCAATACATATGTACTTACACCCCATGATGCCCAATGTTCATATCTCAGTATACACCACCATGTTTGGCCGAACTCCCACTGTCATCATCTCCACTTCCCATGTTTTGCAGTAAAAAAACAGCAACAAAAACATCCACCGACCGCAGCCGTGGCCGTGGCACAACATCCCGCGCATCCGCTGTGGATCCAGTCGATCCAGTGGGTCCGGCCATCATCTGGGAGATGGTGTAGCCGCCCTTCAGCTGACCCAAGGCATCAACCGCATGGTCGTCGGGTTTGATCTCCTTGAGGTGTTGGGGGAGGTGGTAAAGAAACAAAAAAAAACGGGAGATGATACCGAAAAGGAGATTGATGTGTCATCATGATAGACATGAACGTGGATTCTCAATGATTCTCATGTATGTATCAGGTATGTATATATATATATACCGAGAGAATTATATATATATACATAAATAATTATATAAAATTAAACATACATATTGTTATTATTGGGGTGATACCCATGATCATCACCCTGATGCATCCAAGATTTGCATCTTCCGAGCATCTTCCCAGCGCTGCAGCTCGTCACGATCCACCTCGATTTCGTTGAGGTCGATGCGATGCCCCTGGCGTCACGGCGAGTCGTCTGTGGGATGGGCATTGAACGAGTTTTCTGTTGGCAACCGGCCATAAACAACGACCAGTTTGGGATTTCTACAACTCATTTATGGATATGTGTTGTGATTTTGGGGATAGTTTTTTGGTTCACTTTATGGATGCTTTTTGGTTGAGCACATTGGCCAAAGGGTGGGGGATTCCATGGTATTCCATCACTTTTTCAGCAGGAATAAACACATCTATTCTCAGTAGAATGGGGAATTTGGATACCCATAGCTCCTTTTGCCGCTCCCTCATAGCAAATGGATAGATAATACTTCAACAAGTACAACGGGGGAAGACACATCTTTTTCCTGCAAAGCACACCTATGGACGCGAAAATACGCGAAATCCACTAGTACGTGTTTCTAAGTGCGGTGTGACATGCACGCAAATGGGAGATAACAGGACATACTGATGGCTCATCCAGGTACAAAACCAGTGGATGCCCTCAGGTAATTGCAATGGAACGCAAAAATAAAATTTTCTACTGGGTCAGATCACGAAACTTGCTAGAAATGGCATATGTTTTGCCAGGTGATTTTGCTTGACAATATACAGGAACAAACTGTGGAGCTGTTTCCAGTTCTCTCGAGTATGTTTGTGTGAACTTATACCGATTTGAAGGAATAGATCCCTTACTTTTTTCCCAGGACATTTTACAGCTTTAGTCTTGCTACTTTCTTTAAACAAAAACTATATATAGGATATATCCACTGATACTGTACCTCGTATCCCACATTCAATTGGTAAATCATCACGTTACATGTTGACCTTCGCAGCTAGACGAGTCCGCAGCCACAGTGATAAGGTAGGTCTTGATGGGAAAATGTCATGGGAATTCCACCCCAAGGGTGAACCCCCTCAAAAAATAATAAGGTATTCAATGTGTTACCATACCACCTACCAACTACCGAGAGGTCATGGGTTGGTGGGACATGGTGGGACCATGAATCCGCTCCGCACTTCCAAGACTGCCCTTTGGCAGTTTTAAGTTCTGACAAGCTGGTCATATACCCTCTGGTATATTAAGATAGACTCTGAAAATAAGCAAGTTTTAGTGGAAAATATAATCTTCCAACCCCACTGCCAAGGTCGTCATGTTAATTTACTGGAGGGTGATTGGGAACCCAAATCATGCAATGAATCACTGGGCCAACCAGAGTTTCTCACGATATATCCCCATTTTTTTGGAGCCTATTTGATACCTGTAACCCTGGTTGGTAAGTCCCATAAGTGGATTTATTCCATACATGACTGGGTCATAGTTACAAGTTATAACAACTTAGAACTTAAAACTATTGTTCTTCATCTAGTAAACCCAATATTTCCACCATCCCAAAATCAAAGGAAGGTGAGAAGCCAAGGCGAAAGACATGAACTGCTTGCCGGTCATCTGTTGAGGCCATGGGAACAGCTACATCATGGGCTGCCCGCATGGTGCGAATGAGAAAGTTAAGTGTCCATCAGCATCGCACCATGGAAAGGATGATCATGCCTCGGAAATTCTCTGCGATCATGGTGAGATCGCACTGCGGCTCTTCAGCAGCATGGGTAACGGCCGGGGCAGTGACCCATTCCGGGGACACTGCCATCATGAGTGCGGGCTCGTAATAGGCATTTTACCATGGTGGTTTCTTAACCGTCTTAACCATCCCCAGTCATGGTCGTTATGGCATTGGTCAACCAGTTATGGACCGTGGTGTCAGATCCTCGATGTCCTACCTCCTTCAGTTGGTAGATGCCCAGCGTCGCGCCCCCTGCAGAGTTGAGCTGCCGCGAAGTCGTTGAGCTCTCCGTCTTCGGCGGGTGGTGATGAAATCCTGGGCTGCGTGATGGGGTACCCTGGGTGATGGTAGCTTCAAGATTTTCAAGGAAAAAAATGATGGAAATTAGGAAAACTGTGGGTGAAATGGTGAAATTCTGGAAATGAATTGGTCCGAGGATTAAAAGCAACTTTGGGATTTTCATATGGTTGGTGGTTTCAACCATCTTGAAAAATATTTGTCAATGGGAAAGATTATCGCATATATTATGGAAAATAAAACGTGTTTGAAACAACCAACCAGTCATGCTTTTCAAGGACACATACAGCTTTTAAAAAACGCCTGGGAAACCTCTTCAGACGTAGCCAAACCTCCACAAAGTCAGCTGGACGACCAAACATGGCCACTGGACGTGGGGTCCCCCTAGCTATAAATTGGTTTACAACCGCCATTCGCTATAATATATATATATGGTATAGAGATAGTTATATCTACTATTGTATACAACTATAGATCCCACTGTATTTAACATATACTTCTAAACCAACTTGGTACACAAACTGGCCCCCCCGGGCAGTTTACGCAGGAATCCTCTCAGGTTGACCATTCCACCAGCCTTCCGTGTCGATTCACCACCCATAAAAACCATAGGGGATATTCCTCATAGCGTGGGACATATTGACATATTAACATATATAGCCATGAAATGGGTGGGATATTAACTTATAGCCATGAAGGGTGGGATATTAAGGCTGGTGTGTAATATGTTAATATGTTAATATGTTATTACCAGCCAGCTACTGACTGGGATGCATTTTAGTTGTCAAGACATTTTTTTTCATCGCTGGACACCGTGATTGGCGTCAGTTTGGGGATGATCCTCTGGTGATTTCACAGCTTGGAATCCATGGCCCATTGAAATACCCTCTGGTAAACATACAAAAAGCTATGGAAAGATCCACCATTTTTAATGGGAAAATCCACTATTTCTATGGCCATTTTCAATAGCCATGTTAAATTACCAGAGGGTAGATGATGTGTACATGATGATTGACCGAACTGACCGAACTGGTGACTTTCGACAGCTATCTTAAATAGCCACAGGTCATATTCCCATTAATATATTTAATATCGATCTTTGTAGCATCATATATCTTTGTTCTAGCATTAAATCCCACGGATTTTCGCATTTTATGGCCATGGAAAACCCCAAAATTCTCCAAAGCCAGGGATAGGTCGCAACGAGCGTCTCTTGACCACCTCGCGCTCACCAACGTCCACCTGGGGAGCTCCACTATGGAATGGATACCCTCTGGTTGTGTCAAAATAGCTATTGAAAATGGCCCATTTACAGTTGATTTACCTATTAAAAATTGTGATTTTCCAGAGTTATGTCTGGTAAACATACAACAAACTATGGAAAATCACCATTTTTAATGGGAAAATCCACTATAAATTGCCATTTTCAATAGCTATGTTACTTTACCAGAGGGTATCTCTTAGAAAAATGTGTGCGTGTGTGATAGATGTTTGCATTTTGTGTTTCCCAGGGGCTGCAGGCTTAGACTTTTCACGACTTTGGCGCCACCTTTTGGGGGGCTCAAAACCTAAGTAGCCCTATTCAACCAAACAGGCCATCGAGTTATTTCAGTGGTAAGTGGATCATAACCCATGACATACATCCAATTAGGGGGTTTTGCTATAAGCAGCTAAGGATAAAACCTCAAGGTCCAAGCGTCGGACTCCCAAGGCCCTCCAATTTTTTTAGCCAGGCACCTCTACCAGTGGCCGGTCCGACACCGGGTCAAGTTTTCTGCCAGGAGCCACCTGAAGGTTTCGCAAGGTCCATGCCCTGGTTGGTGGTGAAAAAAACCATCTTGAAACATGATGGAGTTCGTCAATGGGAAGGATGACATCCCTTTTTATGACATGGAAAATAACAAAAACAAGTTTGAAACCACCAGCCAGATATCTTATTAACCATTATTAACCACCATTAACCATCATTAACCACCATTATCCACCATTAACCACTGGAATATTCAATCTCCACTGAGAAACGCCTTCAAACCCCTGGTGTTGAGTGTTGGATCTGTTCATTCAATGGTCCCATAGTGGGTTTTGTTTAATCCCCACCCCCCTAATATTGAACACCCGCAAAAAACACCGTTTAGTAGGGGATGTCATCACAAAAAATTGACCATACAATGGGGATGTTTAATATTGAAGGGGGTGGGATTGAAAAGATTTCACCATGTTCCCAATGTTTCATCCAATATCCCATCATGGTTGGGATTCCCGTTGTATTCCCCATGGTATATCCACCCTCCTCCATCATTTGTTTAATATTAGGGGGATGGAATTAACCATCAGTTAACCACCAGTTAACCACCAGTCAACCACTATTAAGAATTATCAGCCATTGTCCATGACCAACCATTGTTACTAATCATTAACCATTACTAATGTTTAATCAGCGTTAGCCATTCTTAACCACTAGAATCAGGTAATCCAACTTGCTGGACATGTTCCGATTTAGTTCGATAATTTTCCGAGCTAGAAACCTCCGTTTATAGATAAATGTCCCAGTATTGTCCCATTGATACCTCCATGTATAGTTGATTTTTGCATATGTTCCCATGATCTTCACCTCAAAACCTCCATTCATAGATGATTTTCACATATGGGTGTTTCCAGCAAAATTGGGTACCTCAATAATTGGGTGGTTAATACATGTTAATACTAAAAATAAACTTAAATCTGTGGTCCCCCAGGTGCTTAATTTTGACCCATACCCATATGTTCCCATTAAAGCCTTCACTTTTCATTGGGATTTGCCAGGGCCATGGTGAACATTTCGGCGCCTCCGGCAGGGGGTCGAAGAGCGGCGCGCCCTGCAACTCTCCCAGACGCGCGCCTTCTTCGATCCAATCCTGCAATGGTGAGAAAGTCAAAGAATTCCTTGGCAACTCATGGCCTCAAAGGATATGATTATGGGATGAGGATGATGATGATGATGATGATGATGGTGATGGTGATGGTGATGATCATATGACAATGAATGTGCAAATGAACATATGAAGATAAATATGAAGATGAACATATGAACATGAAGATAACAATGACGATGAACATGAACATGAAGATATTGAGGATGATGATTAGTTCTGATGATTTATGAATATATACGATGATGATTATATTTATATGATGATGATTCCTTTGTTGATGCTCATTCTTCTTATGGGACTGTGATTATAATAATTCATAACCACCAGCATCATCATCATAATCATACATGGTGTAAAACCTGATTCTGTTAAATAGTCGCGCACACACACACATATATATACATACACATAAGTTACACACACATATATATATATATTATATAAGTATATAGGATAGAGAGAGAGAGAGAGAGGCAGTACACTACACAATGTTTAAAATTCCTGGGCTGGGAAGAAGCCATCAACTGGTAAAAGAATCGTTCAAATCACAACTGGAAATGCTTTTGTCATTCTAGGGACCGTGAACCGTGAACGAAACATAGTGGGGCTGACCGTCCTGATGTCCAAACAAAAAAATCAGATTCATTTCTTCAATACCATTGTTAATGGTTGGTGGTTTCAACCCCTCTGAAAAATATTAGTCAGTTGGGATTATTTATGATTCCCAATATATGGGAAAAATGTTCCAAACCACCAACCAGTTTCATGTTGAATTCCTCTTAATTAATTAATTTGTGAGTTCCACTTCAAGTTTTCGATTTCCATGCTTTTTATGCCTCACAATTTCACTTTCTCCCCAAGATAATCCCTAGGTTTCCCAGGCATCACCCGCGGTGCAATTCCACTAAAAATGTGGCTCGTAGAACTAGAGTAAGGATTATATCCCAACAAACATGGAGGTTACACCATAGTTGTACCCATTCAAAAGCTAGTAATTTAACATAGCTATTGAAAATGACCATAGAAATAGTGGATTTTCCCATTAAAAATGGTGGATCTTTCCTAGTTGTACCCAGCTGCACCCAGCCCATCTCGCCCGTCTCCTTCTCCTCGCTCGATTCAAAGGGCTCCATCGGCCCAGACTCCGTGGCAGCGAGGCCCGGGTGTTGCTCCAACAAACTGCGCTGCCGCGCCGTCATCCCAGGACCTGCGGGACAGAAATGGAGGTTGCCCCAGTTATGGCCATAATAGAAATTGTTTAATGGGGAAAATGAAAATAATTATATTTATATGGCCACTATATATATATATCACTATCCCCATGGCCATGGTATATCTATTATAGTTTATAGATGGCCACTATGGTATGTTGATAGTTTTCTAGATAGTTTAATATATAGTGTAAACTGTTGACTAATCCATTGGAATTGGGTGTCAAATCATTTCAGCCCTAGACCACAGGTGGCTGACTGTCTATGTTTATTATTCACCAGCTAATCAATTCTAATTAAGGAGGGGTTTGACCCACCCAAATAATAGGTGGGACATGGTGGGACATTTGGGATGTAGTAAATAGATGTAAATAGATGTAGATAGTAGGAAAGGGCTGTTGATATTATGGGCACTCTTCACCGGGCATGCCCATGTTTGTTGATTGAAATAGATCAAATCTGGAATTTGCTGGTGGGGTCGGCCGGTCGGCCCTTGAAAAACCCATCGACGCTAAGTTGGTGTTGGTGGTCATGGCAACTTGGCTCTGACAAGTCAGGGAGATCTGAAGCGATTGGCTCACATGTTCACATTGGCGCGTTTTGGGGTTTCACTTCTACTGGCTACTACTAGACTACAGCAAAACCCAAACGTCCAGCCAATATGAAAATGAGTATTCATGAGATACCTGCTACGAAATCACCTTTAAAATCCTTGTTTACTGATGTACTCCTTGTCAATTCATGACATTTGGACCCCGAAAGCCCCTCTGTTGGCACACGGTGGCACCTGGAATTGGCTGCAAGGTTTCCCGCATCCACTGCGGGAGGGACAAAAACCTGACCGATCCATTGCTCCGAATAGCCGACCGGGTCTGAAAATAATAAGCCACGCGACCCCCAGTGACCCCCAAAAAAAACGGGTTTTGTCATGGTTTGTCATCATGTCCCCTACATTCAAGTATGCAATCTTGGGTAGCAAACTCGGAGCATTTGAGTAGCAAAGCCGTGATATTTAAGCATCAAACATGGGGGTCCGAGTCTCAAAAACACGTGCCACTTTATCATCAGTGGTGCAAACAGGCTCCAGACCCAGGATTGACAATCCCTTAGCTGATTTAAAAAAATGGGGTGCCATTCTTAATTGTAATGTGTCACTGTTTTGGTGGTAGACACCCCCATTCAATAGTACTGGTTTGTTCAGCGATTTACCCACCAACTTGATAGCCATAGGCTTTTTGCGACCCACAGGTCGTCGTGGATTTCAGTTCAAGCCAGCCATGCTTGTCGACCAAAGGCTAGTCCATTAGGTCAACAAAAACTTGCTGGTTGCTCCCCTGCTAAATTGGTTTAATTTCTAGTGCTTATCCAAAGAAATTGCCACAACAAGCCCACAAAAGCGAACAAAATGTCTGGGGACCACCATGAAAAGTGTTGGCATTTAGCCTACCATTCACCAAGGTACACTCGGAAGTAAACAGTGTATCTAGACATGTCCTTCTCATGACATCACCATTAAGACACCCCCTGGCACTTTGAAAACTGAGGAAACCCACAATGCCAACACAAGAGGTAAAATCATCGAACGCAATTGGCCATCTTGAGCAGCAAGCCTGTTAAATTACTGGGTCTGTTGGTGTTTCTGCCCTGTCTGGGTGAGACCTGTTGGCTCCTTGAAATGGCGCACTATTTTTCCTGTGTATTTTTTCCCCTTCCCCGGGGATTTTTTTTCCCCGATCATCCTTTCACAATGAAGCCAGCAGGCAGGCAAGCAAGCAAGCAAGCCAGGCAGGCCAAGCAAGCAAGCAAGCAAGCCAGCAAGCAAGCAAGCCAGGCAAGGAAGCAAGCAAGCAACTGAGCAACTGAGCAACTGAGCAACCGAGCAAAGCAGGCAGGCAGGCAGGCCAGGCAGCCAGCCAGCCAAGCCAGCCAACCAGCAAGCAAGCAAGCCAGCAAGCAAGCAAGCATGCAAGCATGCAAGGATGCAAGCATGCAAGACAGCAAGCAAGGGGGCAATCGGGCAAGCGAGCAAGCAAGCCAGCCAGCCAGCTAGCAAGCAAGCCAGCCATTCAGGTAAGCCAGAGCAAGCAACCACTTTGCATGCAGGCAAGCAAGCCAGGAAGGCAGCAAGCAAGCAAGTGTGGAAGCAAGCAAGGAAGTAAGCAAGCGAGCCAGCCAGCAAGCAAGCAAGCCAGCCACCATAAGCAAAGTTTTGAGCCAATCGTAGATAGACCTTCGAGCCAACCCTTCGGAAAAACTATTAAGCCAACTTTCAATAAAACAAAGCAACTCTGAACCAAACCTAAATAAAGTTCTAAACCAACTGCAACCCAATTCCAACCTTACTTCTCCAAACCCTAAACGAACTTTAAATTGTAAACTTACTGTCACTAAACAGTAAGTAAAGCTTTGAACCAATCTTTGACTAACCCTAAAGAAAATTCAAAATAAAAACAACACCAAAGCTTAGATCTAGTTTAAATCAACCATAAATAAATGTTGAACCAACTCTAGAGAAAAACCTTGACCAACCTGAAATAGAAAGATAAGCTGACCTTATAGTAAAGCACCAACAATTTTGAAATACAACCTGAAACCACCATCAAATAAACTTTCATTAAACCTTGAACCAATCCTCAATAAACCACACATCAACCCTAAATAGATCTCTAACCAGCCCCAAACCAATTCTAAACTGAACCGTAAACCAATTTAAAACATAAAGTGCACCGGCACTACATCGACCCTAAACCAACTTGAATTGGCCATTAAGCCAACTTTAAGAAAACACTCAACAACCTCAAATAAATGTCCAAAAAACATTCAATATTCTTTTAAACAAATCCATAGTCCAGCTCTAATCAAACCTTAAACCAACCCCAAATCAACCCTAAACCAGCCTTAAACCGATTATTAAAGAACCCCTTAATCCAACCCCAAAGAAAACCTTAAAGCAAACTATCTATGTATATATGTAAATATAAATAAATACAAATAAATCCTGAAACCCTCACGAAGGAAACTGCACGCACACCTTAAAGTCAACCCCAAGCCAACTTTAATGTTCAACCAACCTCAAATAAACCCTGAAACGAATGCCAAATAAAGGGTTAACCCAACCCAAAACAAACCCACATCCAAAACAAAAGACAGATGAATTTTCGACAAATTCCGAATCAAACCCTGAACCGATTTTAGATACAACTTTGCACCAACCTTAAGCCAACCAGCAATAAACCACTGACCCAACCCCGAATCAATCCTAAACCAAACCGGAAGATAACTTAAACACATGTTAAGCCAAACACTAAGCACGCCAGAAATAACACCCGACAGATATTTTATCTCAGCATTACGCCAACATTAAATAAATCCAGAGTAAACCTGAAGCTAACGCTAAGCCCACCCAAACTAACCCCTAAATCAACTTTAACTACAATTTCAAACAGCCTTGGAGCACAACCCGAAACCAAATCTAAACAAAACCTTATACCAAACCTAAACCAACCCTGAACATATCTTAAAAAATAAGAACCATTCCAAACTACTTTCACCCAAGCCTAAACAAATCCTACAGCAGCCCTAACACCATGCTATTTGAACCAACCCTAAAACTAAGTGGACTCCTAGCTAAACCGCAAAATAACCCTAAATAACATATTGCACCAACACTAAATTCACGCCAAACAAGCGCTACACAAACACCATTTATAACCAACTTTAAACCGACCTGAAATAACTAAGCCAACCCACGATACCGATACCTTTAACCAAGCACAAGCACACACCACAGCAGCCCCAACAACACTTCTAGCTGAACCAACCCCAGGTTTTTGCTAGCTCCAAAAAAATCCGATTCCGGCAGAAATAAGAGTTTCTAGCTCTAAAATGCGTGACTTACCATCAGTTTCTAGCTCCAAAATGCTGCAATCACCGTAGAAGTGGTTCCAAAATGTTTGCAGCTTCGAGATCCCCATGTGGTGTGACATTTAGGGCTCAACCCTGGGATCTCAGCCTGCACATGTGGATGAATTCCCATGTACTGACATCCAATCTGACTGGCTGAATTTTTGTACTGACGTCCGTCCCAGACTAAAAGTGGTAGGTCAAGCCTAAATTTTAGTCCATGGCTTTTGCAATTTTTGAAGCATGATCCCACTTGCCACGTGGATGAAAACCCAGGATACAAGATATGTACCTTTAAAAATTTTCGAGATGACCCCGAGGCTGAAAATCAATACACTGAGGTTTATAGCATCAAACATTTTTAGAATCATGTCCTCTGCTTCCCCCAGACCCGTGATCTTCGGCATACTTTTTCCCTGGCGCAGTTGCTGATTCATCCCCAAGCCGCGAGGGTCTGCGAGGCCATCAGAAATCGGAAGAAAAAAAGGAATCAGCCTCATCATCAAACATTTTCAGATTGAATTGGAGCTTGAAATTTTTGAAATGTGGAAAACAATTGGCCCCGACCTCCCAGCACATAGAGAATCGCAAGTGGATCCGCTGGCCTTCTTGGCACATAAAGACTCGAAGTCGGCCTTCTTGACCAACTCATATTAATGGTTCTTAATTTGTTCAAACCCTTCCTTGGTTCAGTCCAAATATCAAAAAACGAAACCACAGTCCTTGGTTTGAAGATTTTGAGGTGTGGAAAAATATAATGCCCGTGTGGGGCCTCAAGGATCTGAAGGCAAATGACAGAATGCTTTCAAATCATTCAATTTCTTCTGAAATTTCTGAACCTTTCAGGATTTGCTCAGAGATCTCAAAAAAAAGGGACCTGTTTCATCTATTTCCCTAGCGCTGCTTGTTTGCTTCCTGCTCAACTGTGCCCAGAGATGCAGTGGGAATCTCAGAAATCAAGCGGAGGAAATCCTGAGCAACATTGCAAATCTCACGGAAAAAATGGAACGCCGGGCTTTGGTCCTGAAACATCTGAAACATTTGAAACTCACAAAGTTTGAAGAAGGAATTTGACTTTTGTATCAGTTGAATCTCCAAATAGGCCAGGCAGCAGTTCTCAGGTACGGCGGCTGCGACAGCTGCTTGGCGATGCGAATGAAATGACCATGCACAGCTTTTCCGTAGGCTTCGCGGTTGCGAATGGTGTGATGCAGCATTGAGAAATATCCTGGAGCGCGTTCCAAGACCTCTGACCATTTCAATCCTGTCTCTGTGACGCCTGTGACTGGGTTTTTCAACCTCACTCTGCCGTGTTCATCCAGCAGAGGACGGCTGGAGTGGTGCTGCTGGTCCAACTCCAGCAAGCGATTCATCTCCTGCCATATCAAACGATCTCCACTGCGGAAACGTGAAAAGTTGGCAGCAATTGCCTGGGCAACAGGATGCAGATGTCAGGTCATGGGATTTCAGCCTCAGCATTCCTAGGCTATACCAACTAACTCAACTACAGACGATATAAAAACATATATATATATATATGTATCACACATATATATATATATACACGAGCTACACACATATCCAGTGATATCATTTATATCAAAATGTGTCAAAGATCTTATAATTTTTCGAATTCATAGCCCAACGTTTCTCTTCCCATTCTTACATTGTGTGCAAACAAAGGTGTTCAATGCTTTCTGGTTGGCTCCATGATGCTCCATGCATGGCGCAAATGTCAGCATCATGGTTTTTATCCTCAACATTGGTCAGCTCTCGACTGCAAATAGCCTACTCACCGGCATTCAGTCATAATAGTCATATCATTCATCAAATATATCATAACACCTCGCGGCTGAAATTCATGGGTCCAACATGTCCAATGATTTTTCTCAATTGCTGTGTGCAAAAGCAACAACACCCCCAATGGCACGAAATGTCAGCGTCATGAGTTTTATCCTCGACAGTCTTCAGCTATGCCAACTATCTAACCTAAACACATGCAGTCATTTCAGCTATAAAATGAAACTCAAAATGTTGCAAAAAACAAGAAACAAACATACTATATCACACTATTCTCGATATTTCCTGATGTTTGCAACAATGCTCTCAATATAAGCCGTGGGTGATGTCAGTCATTGAGTCCGAACCGCAACCCTGGATTTTTTCATATGAGTTATTGATGCTATTATGTTTTTTGGGGACGTTTCACCACCCAGACCACCCAGCAACAGAAGTAGCGCTACACAATAGCCCACCAAGGCACCAAAATCTCCTTGCTCTTCTCTGGTTTCTCCTGCATGTCAACTGCTTCTTTGGTCTTCTTCTGCAAGCTTTTGAGTGTCTTTTTGCCATTCTCTACTGGGTGCACTGTCTCCACCTGATCTGCCTGGGACGCTTTGGACTGGTCATTTGCTCCAGTGGCTTCTGCATCAGACATGTCAGAATCAGCAAGATGCACACTGTTATGGGCATCATCAGCTGACTCGTTGTCATCGTCGATGATCTCCACGCCTTTTGCAGGCGTAATGACTTTCGGTGCTTTCCGTGCTTTTTGCTTCCTTCTTTGCCGCCTCTTTCGCACAGGTTTGCATTGTTGTTTGGCAGCAAAAGCCAAGTCGGCCACTGGTCCTTGTCTTGCTGACTTGAAATCATCCAAGTCCCGCAAGTGCGCTGGCCATTCGTCCCAGAGATGAGCATGGCGGACGGCCTCCAAGGACTTGGAGGACAAAACCAGCTTGAGACCGTCAATGCTTGGATGCGCCTCAGCAGAGAGAAACAGCGCCACCCGGTTGATGTCGCAGACCCTGGTAGAACTTGAAGCCCGGCATCTCCAAGTAGAATCATCATTCTCATCAGGCTGCATCTGGCAAATCCGGCAGTACCTGCACACATCCCTGGGGATAGCCATGGTACAAGGCTTGGCGCCAGAGCGAACCCCCTTCTTTGCTGTGTACCTCCAGCAGGTCAGAATGACACCTACTCGCCAAGCACGGTCTTTTGGAGGGCAATAGAGGACTGGCGTGCCAGCACAAACCTCAGCAGCGGCATCTTCAAGGCCATGTCTTTTTTTGAAGGATGCCGCAAGGTTTCTCCATGCATAGGCTCTGGAACACCTCTTGGCTGGGAGGCCACAGATGGCTCTCACTTGGGCCGCCAGTCGCTGGGCAGAAGCGTACCAATTCAGTGGTTTTTTTGTTGTTCGGAATCTGTATGGTCTTGGCAAGGCGTGATGATCTGCCTTTGTTCTGATGTTGGTAAGACACTGCCACAAGGGCCCCAGCACTGGTTCGATCTTGGTCAACTCCACCCCATCACCCAGTCGAACCTCGGCAAAGACCTGCGATAAGGTCACCAGTTTCTTCATCCTGGTGGATCTTGCGCATGTCTGATCGTCATCCACATCATCCACATCGAGGACCTCATCCCATGTAGATTTGTCTAGCTCTGGGGGTGGCAGCTTGCGCCCACAACCCAGACGCTGGGCTTGCCTCTCTGGAAGCTCTTCCATACAGGTGCCATCTTCACGAATGCCTTCGAATGTGACGCGGTTGGCCGCTTGACGGGCTTTGATCTGATTCAGAAGCTGGTAACACTTCAGATCTGCCCCAGACATATCAGATATCTTAGGCTCACCGGTGGGCTCAGTGACGACAAACTCCTCAAATTCTGACAGGTCTGAAACATCCACTGGATCATCCTCAACCTCCACAGAATGCATGTCAAGCATCATTTCAGCCATCTCGTCAGGCTCTTTGGCGCACTGGGCCACGTACTTGTCCAGCAGCTCTGATCTGCTATACCTCGGATGGTAAACCCACAGCACTCAAACGTATCAAAATCCAAAACCAGTGATTCCTTAACATTCTGATGGGTAATCATCATGGCATGGAGATCACCGAGGATAAATTTCTAGGGCTTGGGGTTCAGGCCCATAATGACTTATATAATCTCAGGGATCGAAGAACAAACAAATGCTAGAGAAGCAGGTCACTTTCATCACTAACAACTTTGATATCTATGATGTTGATCTATGGAAATATTCCAACCAGCGCGCAGAGGATAAAAATCCAAGGCTTGGGATCAAGGCTCCTAACCCGTTTATTGCGGGGTAACTAGATGCTGAGAAACCACAGGGATCACAGGGGGATTCTGGGGCCCATATCATTGAACAAATGAGATGCAAATAAACTCAACACCAAGCATTTCATCCTTGTCTGATCTGCCTCGTTCTACCATCCCCACTATATACAATGATTGATCATCAGTCCAACCAGGGCGCGGGGGATAAAATTCCAAGGCCTGACATCAGGGCTCCTGACCTGTTTATTGCAGGAAACGACTTATATAATCTCAGGGATCGAAGAACAAACAAATGCTAGAGAAGCAGGTCACTTTCATCACTAACAACTTTGATATCTATGATGTTGATCTATGGAAATATTCCAACCAGCGCGCAGAGGATAAAAATCCAAGGCTTGGGATCAAGGCTCCTAACCCGTTTATTGCGGGGTAACTAGATGCTGAGAAACCACAGGGATCACAGGGGGATTCTGGGGCCCATATCATTGAACAAATGAGATGCAAATAAACTCAACACCAAGCATTTCATCCTTGTCTGATCTGCCTCGTTCTACCATCCCCACTATATACAATGATTGATCATCAGTCCAACCAGGGCGCGGGGGATAAAATTCCAAGGCCTGACATCAGGGCTCCTGACCTGTTTATTGCAGGAAACTAGATGTTGAAACACATGGGAGCCAATCGTCTTTAAAAGTTCTAAGAAAAAACAAGATTAACAAGATACCAAGCGACTGAGAACAGCATGCCATCAGCTTCACAGCAGCACCCAGGGAACAAGCGGCACAGGCCTCGAATTCTGCGTCTGAGACTGGCTTCAAGTAGGCATCGTCAAGGATCTGGTCGGTGTGGAAGGTGCAGCCATGATCACTGGTGATCCTCTTCATTGTCTGGAACATTGCTTTGGAAGAAGCGAAGCAATAGTCTCTGGCCGACATCTGTGAAATAAGGATGCCAAAACCAGCAAACTCTTCAAACTCCTCAACATCTTGTGTGTAACAAATCTTGAAGACCTTGAAAAATTAGAAAGCATAACAAATCTCAAAGATCTTGAAAGTACATCATGGAGTGACCTAACGAGCACATCCACCATCAAGCCTTCACAACATCTTCCCCAGATGCTGCTGCGTGTCCATTCTTCATGATGTCGCCTGCATCCTGACGGGTCAAAGCAGGGAGCTTTCGTCTTTGGCGAGCCATGGCAGACATGCCAAAATCCAAACCATTAATAAAAATAAAACGTCAGTCCCAAGGATTTCATCCTTTTGCACACCTACATGTGGGACCCAAGCATTCCCAGGGGATCACTGGGAAGCCCGCAATATTAGAGGGAAGAAACCTCAAATCATGGGTTTTTATCTGCGGTCATCCCCAAACTCTCCTCCAAAATCCCCAACATCCCCAAGGAGACGCCTGATCCTTCAAGGCAGGCGTCACCAGTTGGTTTTCCATTTTCTGCGACGCCTGGCAAATGATGGCAGGTGAGCCAGTGCATTGCGAATCTCCCGCAAGGTCCACAAGTCCACAAGTCTGCGAGATAAGGATGCCAAAACCAGCAAACTCTTCAAACTCCTCAACATCTTGTGTGTAACAAATCTTGAAGACCTTGAAAAATTAGAAAGCAAATCATGGGGTGACCTAACGAGCACATCCATCATCAAGCCTTCACAGCATCTTCCCCAGATGCTGCTGCGTGTCCATTCTTCATGATGTCGCCTGCATCCTGACGGGTCAAAGCAGGGAGCTTTCGTCTTTGGCGAGCCATGGCAGACATGCCAAAATCCAAACCATTAATAAAAATAAAACGTCAGTCCCAAGGATTTCATCCTTTTGCACACCTACATGTGGGACCCAAGCATTCCCAGGGGATCACTGGGAAGCATGCAATATTGGAGGGAAGAAACCTCAAATCATGGGTTTTTATCTGCGGTCATCCCCAAACTCTCCTCCAAAATCCCCACTCCCCAAGGAGACACCTGATCCTTCAAGGCAGGCGTCACCAGTTGGTTTTCCATTTTCTGCGACGCCTGGCAGGTGATGGCAGGTGTGCCAGTGCATTGCAAATCTCGAATGTCTGAAAGATTTTGAAGATTCACATATATATATATATGATAGATATGTCATAGAAGCTATAGGTCTGCAGTTTAAAACCATGAATAACGGAACAAACAAATCAAACAGGAATAGGTCCATCAAGGTCATCAAGCTCTGCCTGGAGGCTCTGGTCGCTTTCCGATTCCAGGGCTTCATGTAAAAAGCTATCTCGCAAAGTTTGAAGTGCCTGCCAACAAATAATGTTGACAAGGTCTTGTCGTTGGCTACACATGTTACACATGTCAAACGTTGCACGCCACTCCTGTGAATTGTGCAATCTCTTTGATCTCTTTGTATGATTTGTATGTGAAATATGTGATGTATCCGGACGTATTGCATGCATCATCAATGTCAACGACGGTCGCCTGAGGTGAGGCCCAAAGACCAAACAATTTCTAAGAAAGGGCTCACAAGACCCTGAAATATCTCAAATGTCCAGACGAAAATTGACAAGGCACCCCCGGAAAAAAAAAAAACAGCCGGCCTTGGCCAAGCCTCTATGGCAGCCATCACCACGCCAGTCGCCCATCACAAACAGGCTGGAGTGCACACCACGTTCACATTTTGCCACCCACAGGTCCACCTTCTTGGAAAACTGCATCTCGAGCTTGGTGTGCTGGCACTTCAGCATGGTGCAATGTTTCAGCGGCGGTGGTTGGCACGATGCTGCTCCGCAGAGACATGGACTTGGGACTGCGCCCAACATTTTTTTCACCTGCCAGGGGATCTACAAGATTCACAAGGCTCGCCGCATAACACATGGAATACACCTGTTTCAAATATTTTCAATTTTTGTTCAACTAATTTCACTCCTGCCTGGCTGAACACAGTGCCATTGATAATGACGTTGTAGTCCATTACAATCTCATCACCGGCAAAGATTGGTTTCTCCGCAATGACCTGCACAATCATGGTCAAAGATTGTGCCACACGCTCAATCCAGATAATCTGCACATTCTTCACTTTCTTAAATGCCAAAAAGAAAACAAAACAAAAGGCATCACAAGAACATGCCAAAAATCCCAAGATATGTTCAGCCAACATATCCAAGATATCCCAGATCAGACAAGGAACGGAAAATTGGCCAGAGTCAACAGGGTCATCTGCCAGAAGCCCTGCGTTTGGGACGCAGCTGTGGTTCACCAAATCTCGGAATGGAGATTTGCCAAAGCATGCAATCTTCTCACCCTGGCTGATGTTCTCAATTGCGAACAATCCTTTGCCCTTCTGACCGGCAATGGCCACGCCATACTTCGGCATGGGAGCGGGTGATCAAACTGATCAAATGAAAACTATCAAAGTCATCAAACAACTCCATGATTACAAGCTGACTCTGTTTACAACCTTTGCACTTTTGGGGTTTAAAATTGCACATCCTTCAAGTACAGCCCTTACTGGTGGATTTAGAATATTTTGATAATGTAGCTTTTTCCAATGGCCTGCGCAAGGTTTGCTTGGTTTTTGTACATTTAGTAAATTTATTTCATTATTTCATTTGTCCCTTGACGTGGCTCAAATGGCCACTTGAACCAAATCAGGTCAACCATGGCCAGGCGAATGTAATCCCATGCCCTGACATGCCTGGACGAAACTCAACACTCATGTGCCCCAGGGTTGGAATTCAGAAGCTTGGCATTCTTAAAGGTTTTCAATTTAATTCATGACAAAAAATGAAATCCCAGGCACTGACATATATTACCGAAATTATTTTTAGCATGTTGTGTTGATGGGCACTTGGATGAAATTGGTGCTCTGACCCCAAAATACCCACCGGATAAAACTTATGTACTGACATATTTGGAAATTGCCTTGGCTAGATTTTGGGGTGAGGGTATGGGAACTCAACCGGGGGCACCAGATGGGGATCTTCGAGGTTTAACACGCTGCAAATAGCGAGGCCGCGAGGGAATTGATGTGGCATTGGGGGGGAAGAAATTCCCACCGGGCCCCCTTGACATATCTTGACATCATCCCCTTGGCGCGGCGCCTTTCTTCCACTTTTGCGATGCGCCTTTCCTGGCGCGTGGGGTTGATGGTGGTCCACAGATGTCCACAGCCCCCCTAAGAAAATCCAGCTAATCAGAAAAAAAACATATGGTTGTGGCCTCGGAAGACGCTAACCCGCAGTGTCATCAAAGGTGGCTGGAAAATCCTCGCATGAAAAAAATGGAGGTTGAGTTCGCTGGGAAGATCATCGAACCATTGCTGCTGATATTTTCCAGCACGCCATGTTTCATGGTATCAGGTATCACCGTGTATCACCTAAAATTTTCCCCACCCAGATGCAACCCATGGTGCTGGTATATTTACCTACAAAACTGGGTGATGTTTTGGGTAAATGTTGGGATTCATATTCCATACATACCATTATATACCTCATTATATCTCATATATTCACCATTATACCGTACCATTATATCATCATATATCTCCATTAGAATGTTGATGTTTTTTTTGGGTAAATGTTGGGATTCATATTCCAGCACCATGGAGAATTTGGGACAAGTTGACCTCTGGGATCCTCCGGGCCTCCTTTCTCCGCGCTTCCTTCAGATAGATTTCCCTGGCGGTGCCCTCGTCCGCAAACTCGATGTCCGAACTGGGTGGTTGCTTGGAAGGTCACTGGTGGGTGGTAGATACCCTCTGGTAAACATACAAAAAGCTATGGAAAATTGCCCATTTATGGATGGTTTTCGTATCAAAAATGGTGATTTCCTATAATTAGCTATGTTAGATTATCAGAGGGTACATTGAACTACATTACTGTAGTTGGGTTTATATGTAAACCAAAAAAACCTCACTGGGAACAAACACCTTGCAAGTTGCTCCGAGATCAGAGTTGCAGAAGCATTCCACACCATGTCCTGGGGGAACTCTTGACATGTTGGGTTTGTTTTGATACTAATTTCATTGTGGTTTTACTGTTAAAAGAAACATGCGATTGTATCCGCAAACATGTGGGGAAATAACGATCAATCAAAAACTGGCCTTGACCAACAACGACTGGCGATTTTAAGCCAAGAATATGGAGACAAAGAACCAACTAAACTCCCATCCACCCACGGCTTGCCACAGCCCAAGCTACTAGAAGAAACTGCTACTGGTCTCCGCCACATGCTCCTGCGGATCCAGATCAATGTGGCCAATCCATCTGAGATAGCCGGCAAATAAACATGAGTTGATTATAGTTGATTCGTGAAATTCCTCATTTACTGCGAAAACATGAAGTTGTACTACTAAACTCTTCATCCAGTGGCTTTCCCCACATGTTTACCCATTGTTTCGGATCAAATCACCTATGTTGTTGGCTAAATCCTGTTTTTGATACGCTCTACTTGGGGGTGCAGTTGAACAGTTGAGGTTACAAACGAATATAACCATGGTTATAAGTCCCCATAGTTGGGATATAACCCTGCAATACCCTCTTTCATTAACTACAGTGAAATCTATCCACTTCATTAGTTCACTGTTTCACTGGCCCATATGCTCCATGTATGGAATATTTACCAACATTTGCCCTAAAAATCACCCAAATGTAGGTAAATATACCATACATGGAGCATATGGGTGGACTTTCGTGCCCATCACATCCATCACGGATATCCTCGATGGTCTTCATCAAGCTACGCGCGCTGGCCAGCATGGCTGCCGTGAAGTACCAGGGATACGCCTCCGGAAACTGCAGGTGTCCTCGCGCGTATTGCGCCATGCCCAGCAGCAAGCGACCTTAACAGAGGGGAGATGGGATGATCATCAGATGTTGTAAGGTATTTTTGGGGAAATTGTAGGAAATTGCTAGGATTTCATGGGAAAATATTAATCTAAGAAATCGATATAATAATTCTGCATACTTTCGGAAAGTTATGCAATAGTCACAATAGTCATGGGAAAATTGCATTCAAGCCAGTCCGCCAAAGTAGGTGGATTAAGTCATGGTGTTTGCTGAGCACCGGGTCACAGGCCCGCATCAACTCACTTCTTCAACCTCTCAACATTACATTTTATATATATATACAAGGGATTGCCAGCTCTGGAGCGTTACATAATCCCCAATATATTACGGCTAGTAAAGTCTTCCAAGTAATTAATCATAACCCAAACACATATTACTCACATGCCTGATGTTTTTGTTTGACGCTCAACTCCCCGATTTGTATCATGGTTGCCTTGATGAAGCTACTAAGCATCATAAGCATCACCATCCACCAAGCATCTCTGTCCTTCCGTAGGGAACTGTTGGATGATTTGCCCATTGAGATGCCCCGTTCAGGTTTGCTGGGGGAGTTTCCGGCCATGTTTGAGTACCAAACGGTAGTCGTCAAATCCAAGACACAATGTCAACTATATATAATCATTTATCAAATATCATAATGGGTAAATATTGGCTAATTATTTCTATTAATTATATATCATTTACTGGTTTGTGGTTGAGCCCTACCCGTCTGAAAAATATGAGCTCGTCAGTTGGGGTTATTATTCCCAATAGGTGGAAAAATGTTCCAAACCACCAACCAAATAATCATTTATCAACGATCAAAACTTATCAATTAACTGACATCAGCATGTTTTTTTAATGCTCAACCCCACCAAAATGATCAAGAATAAAAACTAAAATCCCAAACAAACATAAACAAGCAACTCATCAGCCACAGTTAATCACCATTTGACCCTTATAAACGCATTATCGATGATTTTAACATCTATAACCATTTATTCAACAGGGGCTTTTGACCTATCCGTCAGTGCTTTTGACGCATTCCCAATGTGCAAGGCACCGATGTGGCGCACTCCCGCTTCCAGTTCGGGATCTGCGGGCGCCTCAAGGCGTTACTAACCACAAGTAACTAGTCCCATGGCCCATCTATCTATAAATATTTTTATGTATATACACATATATATATAATTATATATATATACAGTAATTAGACATCATTATTGCTCAGTTGCGATTCCTGGGGCCCCGTATCAAAGTATTTGTCAAGATTCAATTTGTCGCACTTCGAACCTCCAGTACTGGATTGGAGCCATGTTTAACCGCAAAACTGGCCTGATTAAAATCTTGACTTTCTATTCATTTTAAGTATGCCCTATACAAAAGATTTTCCTAAATGCTGACCCCTCCTTTACAATCCAAAACGCTCCTGTTTTTTTTTGCTGGCTAACTGTCGTTTTTCTTTCTGTACACCCGCCCATAATGCTGGTCGCGGTGCGTTTTTAAATCGTGTTGTCCCTACAACGTGGTACCCCCCGAGTTATACGTTGGTTATAAAACCCTCATTATATAATAAGTATATTGTGTTTTCTTTCACAAGCCTTAGTTGTTGGATGTTATTGAAGTTATAAAAAAAGCTAGCTAACACGTCTCAGCAATTGTAAATCCCCATTCTTGTTGGTTCAACCACCTTGTATTTATAGGCTGCCCGGGCTACCCGACGGCCCGACTGTTTTTCCCCGAATCAACACATCTTTGAATCCAACTTATCACGGCTCCCGAAAACTGCTCCGGAAAAAACAACTTAAAGTGTGTTTTTTGTTGCTGATAAAATAAATAAATATATATATATATATGTATATATTAAATCATTGAATTTCATTTGATTTGAAACCCACCATTTGATGGTTTAATCCCAAGTCTTTATGCTTTATGCCCACAGCACCACCCAAAAAAATCGTAGTAAAAAGTAAATTATCACTATTCAAGTAGGATTTTGTTTTTTTTAATCATTTTAGGGATGCTATGTCTATATATATAAACATACATATCCCATTTTTTGCTGGTTCAAAATCATCATTTTTCCCCATGAACATCCCCCGTCCAGCGATGTCCACCTTAAAGAACTTGCAGCGCGAGCGCCGCAAACAGCCGCGGCAGGTTTGGGTCTCGGTGAGCGACAAATGTTTCCGCAGCACCTGCAGGGGAGCCGCTCAAAGGTGGCCAGCTGGAAAAGCTATTCTACTATACCACTAAATGGGACTTTGAAGGAAGTTTTAAATGGGTTTAGTCTAGACTTCCAGCTATTTTACTACTTAGTCTATTCGATGGAAGTTTATAGCTGGGAAAAATATCGAACTAAATGAAGGATTTTCCACTCAGCCATGGTTGATTACCAGAGAATAATGGCAAAGGTGTATCTGGATGGGGTATACCCCACAAATGGCAATTTTAGTGAAGCCCCTGGTTAGCAGATTTGAGATCAACCTATTTTCAAGCAAATCCACTTCTGTAGATCTACATAGATCCGAAAAAGGGACTTATAACGACATCGCTATATCTGTAATTGATGTGGGATATTGTGGAATTATGATTGTGGGTTCATGAGGAAATGGTTCTATGACCGTGAAAAAATGGGGACCCCCAATTACTGAAACAAAATATATAACTTAATTACTGGGATATGCCTTTTTTACTGCTGGAGTTAGTTGGAATTAAACTTGGATTTGCTTAAGGGGTCCCAAAAAATAAAACATATTCACTATATATTCCCCAAATGGTGGATTTCCTATTGGGAAAATAAACAATCACCTTAAACAAAACCCAGATTAGTATAGAGATGATAATCAATTGATTGGGATAATTGTGATAGTTGGGATTGGGATGACGGGATCCTCAATACCGTACACTGTCCCCAAGCGGGAACCTTAAAAGGACGCTATGAAAATGCAATGAAGCACGACACTTTAGGAACCTTGGGCGATGCGTAATCCTCACTTTGAGTGAGAATTTCAACATGGAGAGTGGAAATCCCAATTTTTTACATCGACAATTTACAATGACAATACTTGATGTTCATTCAGATATATGACAATTCCACATATGTATCTTATTTACATGCTGAATTATCTTTAAACATGCCCACACACATACGCATCTATGTGCATGTGAAAATATACATTATTTACACAGTTTAACGGCAAAATCATCTATTGTTTGATGCAAATCAGAAATGTTTTATTGCCAGGTTTGACTATGAGCCTAGGGTTGGGTCGTAATACAGTGAGAAGAAATTGCAGGTGTCAAACACGGCTAGTTGGGAAAGCCCCTAGAAATTCAGGTTTGAATAGGAAAATCATCTATATAGCGCTATAAATAAGAAATTGTCCATTACGATCTTTGATTACCCGAGGGTAGATAGGACCTAGTTTGTGCCAGGTGAAGCCTGCGTGATGGAATCTAACACGAAGATGTGGCCTTGTATGACGCGATACCTCCAACCTTGATGGGCAATTGACATATGGGTTTTACATGGTTTTACTGACAGAATGGCTTTTAATCCACCATATTTTTCATCCATTTATGATGGGCGCGTTTCCAGAAAATTTCATTGAAACGTGTTAATGGCGCTTTAACCATTCGTATACCGTTCGTAGAATACATAGAAGTTTTGCACAACGAGGATCATTTTAACCAATCCTAGCAGGTAGATCAAAACGACACAAAACGAGGCTGCTGCTGACTGATCTCATGGCTCTGTTTGATCAGAGTGCGGCCTCCAAATGTGTTGTTTGTTGGTTGAAAAAAAAACACATAATCATAGTTATAAGTTATAAGTACCAAAAACCATACTTATTGGTAGCTATATATTAGATGTATAAACCAACCCTAGCTATCGTTTAGTGTTTGGGAGCCCCACTCTGTACAAACTTTGAACCTGGTGAGCATCTAGGTGAGCATATAAGGTACTAAACTGTTCACCCAGTCGTATACTCCACTATCATATTGTTACATCACATGAATATCCTTATAATGTCCCCGTACATGGCTGATACTATGCCACCATTGCCTCTAATATTCTTGGTTGTAGAACCATCCGAATCTATCAAAAAAAACATTCAAACACCCGGTGATATTGAAATCCCATTACAATCATTTCACATCTCATTATAATCCATATTCACATCCATGTGAAATAGTGAAACTGGTTGGTGGTTTCAACTCCTCTGAAAAATAGGAGTTCGTCAGTTGGGATTATGACATTCCCAATATATGGAGAAACAAAAAATGTTCCAAACCACCAACCACATTCTACTACACATGGAAGTTTATAGCTGGGAAGATCATCGAACTATATAAATGAAGGATCATCCATGCGAAATAGTGAAAAAAAATTATGAAATCCATCGAAATCCCATTTTGAACTCCATGAAAGCCCCACCTTCCCTGCAAAGACGATTCGCTTGGGGGCAGACTCGGGCACCTGGCCGAGGGAAGCGCAAAAAACCGAACGGGTCGCCGAGTCGCCCTGACTGTGGCTTTGTTGGGATGGGGCAAGGAATAATAATAACATATAATAAGGTATAATAAGGTATAACAATACAATACAATAGTGTTTGTTGTGTTTTTTTTGGTGAATGTACTACAAAATTTAGAGAAGGCAATTATTGTATATAGTCATAGTGCACAAAAAATGATTAAAGACGCTATATACAATAGGATCAAGAATGATAAGAATACAGAATACAATAATACTTGTACAATGTATGGTACACTGTCTGGCACTATGTTGGTATGGATCGTGGCATGCAGGTTAAAGCTGCCATTCATCTTGGTATAATGATAAGCTTCATAACAAGGATATAAAAAGGAACATTTCCAACGTATAGGAATGTTATGGTAAGGCACTATGACTGATTTTTGTTTGACAAGATACTAGGTAGGGAGATGCATATTGACAAGGATAATTTTCATATTATGCTAAGGCTAAGGAATATACTGGGAACGTACTTGGGGGTTATAAACCACTAATCCAACTGCAGGTCAGCTCTATTAATACATGGGCCATGGTTTGTGAGCTAGCTAGTTAGTAAATGGATTACGGTCCGTACTGGTATATACAATTGGTTTTGTTTGGTTGTATATAACCCTGTTACTAACCAAGAATAGGTAGTTCCACTGTCCCACGGTTGTAATTAGAATCATGTGGTAAACCCAATAAATCATCCCCAAAATCACCATAAATGGGGTGGTATGAACCATCTCAAATGGCAGATTTATGATCGAGTTTCCCACATGAGTTGCATACATACCATGGTAATTTGTAACATAGCTATTGAAGCCATGGCCCATTTAGTTCGTTGATTTACCTATTAAAGATGGTGATTTTTCATAGCTTTTTGTATGTTTACCAGAGGGTAAACCTCCATTTTCCCATGGGTTTCCCATGTTGAGACACATCCCATCACGCTCCGTACCTTCACCTTCATCATGGTCTTGTCCGGCAACAGCACAGGGCATGGCATCCTGCGCGTTTTACAAAAAAACGCTTAAGGCAACTGACAAAGGCAGCCAGGGTGCCAAGGTGCCCCCGAAAAGAACACAGGAAAATTATGCCACAAATATGGAAAAACTATGAAAAGTCATGGGTTCTAGACATGTTCATGGGACAAATTATGGAAAATGTGGTTCATGTATGCTATATATAATATCTATATATTTATATCTATATATATATATACACACCTACTTTTACACCAAACATGGCCCCAAATGAAGGGAAACATGTTATACATGGAATATATGCAGTTATAATATATATATATATATAAATACATATATCAGAAGAACATTGGCCTTTGGGTACCTGCGGATCCACAACGAAGTGTGGGTATCCCATAAGTGGCCCAAAACATATCAATAGGGATTACCTGCGGAGTTTCCCGAAACTCAGGGTCCATTGGCATCTTCAGTGGATAGATTTCATGTCCATGAACATGATCTTCATTCAGAATGCAAAGGTAAGAGAAGCAAGTGAAAACCCATCAACAATATCTTGGGCCCATGCAATCTATCAAATGAGGCAAATTGCTTGGCAAGTCGGACTTTGATGTCTCCTTTTGCAACTCTTATGAGACCAAGTGCTTAGTTGCTATTGTTTTTCCTTCAACAACTCACAGTGCTGCCCTATTTGTGGATCGTCCCCTTAATTCCCATGGCAATTGCCGTGTTCTTTGTGTGGATGATAATGGTTGGCGCCCCTGCAATTTTAAGCATCGGGCCAGCGGCAAGGGCATCTTCAATCGAAAACCATTCCATTTTCTAAAGGTAAATGCAATTGGTTTCAAAATGTGGTGGTTTTGTAATATCTCCCATGGTCACTAACCTACCAAATGCCACCATATTCATAGCAGGGAATCACACATTTTTTCACAAACACCGGGAATCATTGGAGAAATCCGCAGCCCCTTGGTGCCAAACTAACTTGGAATTTCCCGGACCCAGCATTGAAAACCGCGACCTTGCGATGGTTTCGATGTGGCTCAAATCGTTCTTCATGCGATGCTCAACCAGGTCCTGACTGATTGGGATTTTTTTGGGTGAAAAAAAACATCTATAAACAATAGCAGCTATAGCATGGAAATGTGTGAAACCTTGATCAAAATATGGATAGTAAACAGTATCTTGGGGTTGCCAAGATACATTGGAGGATTGGTAATGGTAAAAACAAATGCCTCAGGTGGAACTCAATAAACGCGCAAGAGAACAAATGGTGAAAAATCATAAAAAATCATCAGCGTTGTATTCACATAGAATTGCCAAGATTCTCAGTAATTACTACATCCCCCTAATATTAAATTCTCCACTAGGGGAATCCTGCTTTAGTTTTGGATCTATTCATTCTGGGGTCCTTGGGGTTATTTAATGTGAAAGTATTTAGTATAAGTTGTATTCTTTAAAAAAAAAAATATTGAGAATTCGAGGTATCTAATTTTACATGCTATAGTTATTCCGGGTGTTTGGCCACTTCGATTGGTTACCCTCTTGTTTTTAGCAACATGGATATGGAGAAGCCACCATTTGCAGATCATTTTCCAAACGTTGTTTTTTTTTGTCTTTTTCTGCCACATCTATGTTAGCTTACCCCAGGATATATACCCATGATATCACTACTTAGACAGGCCATGAAGTTAGCATGAGGGAGTTGGTAAGTGGACGTAAGTGGGTCATAATTGGACTAGTTTGCAATATCATTCTACATTCAACTGCCAATTATAATCCAATATGATTCCAATGATAATCCAATATGATTCCAATGATAATCCACGGAAATAACTGGACAACAACTGGTCGATTACTTATTAGTTCCCGAATTGTTTTTTCTCACCCAGTTGCCAGCACCTGGATTTACGAATACAGCTGGAGGGGTTGCATCCCTTTTTTTCTGAGGGGTTTTGGCTGTGAACCCCGGATTTTGCTAAATCATCTGGTTGGTGCTTCAACCCCTGTGAAAAATATGAAATTCAGTTGGGATTATGACATTCCCAATAGATGGAGAAATAAAACATGTTCCACAACCACCAACCAGATTAATTCGGGGAGTACTCCTCCAATAGTGATTTCATCTGATACTTTTTTATACTTTTTTATGGTACCCTCCCAGCTAAACAGCCGTGTGGGGTTTATTAATCCAGGGTTGACATTGAATACCGTGGTTATAGCCACAAAAGTAAACCACCCACAAGATCATCACAAGGTTTGATGCCTTGAATTATTCCTATAAATTGTTGTTGGTTCAATTAAAACCATGAACAGAAAATCCGTTGATATCCCATTACTCTCCCCATGATCATCCCATCATTTATCCCAATACAAAACCATATAATTCAATTTTGAACAAATATGAAACCGTACAAATCAAACACTATCCATTTAATTGAACCATATTAAACCATCTTACCCTCTGGTAAACTAACATAGCTATGGAACATCACCATTTTTAATGGGAAAATCCACTCTAAATGATCATTTTCAATAGCCATGTTAAATTACCAGAGGGTAAACCATTTGACACCTAAGCCCTGAGCTTCCTGCCTTCCAGGTGATCGCCTGCGTCGTATGGAAGACCGCGCGGCGCAGGTGGGCGCGATTGGAGCTGGCCTCCAAATTTTGGGCCCGTGGAGCTGATGTGGCCCAGAAATTGTTGTTAACCAATGGGTTTTATATGGTTTTGTATAGGGAAAATCATGTCATATGATTGACATATGTTTTTTTTAAAACAAAAACTATAGGTCTGTCAGAATCTGATGGTCCCAAAGATGTTTTAGCAATTTGATCATTCCTTACAGCAAGTTTCAAATATAATTAATTAATCAACTGGTTCGTCTTGAGCAAAACAAATACTAAATGACACGGTACCTGATGTATTTGTAAACACAAGTTGGATTAATCTCAAGGATGCCCATAGATGACTATAGACTGAGGTAAGTTCTTTGCAAATAGATGAAGGGGGCGACTGGATTTGTCATGTTCTTCATGTGGACCTCTCAACTGCAAGAAACTACTGGATTGCATCAACACAATTGGAATCTGCACTAAGAAACCATGATCATATGATGGGTTTAAGGGAACAACTACAGGAAACCAGCATATTTGATGGGCAAAATATGATTTGCCATAGTTTCCCCTTCCATCATCCCAATGATACTCGGCTTGTGATCGTGAACGTATGGGGTATTCTGGGTCGTTCTGGGAAGCCTCCTCGAGGCAGGAAACCAGCTGCCAAAACCTATGAAGACCTCAATGTCGTCCTCACCAGGTCCAATGTCTGAATCCTTCAAGAGAACAGCTGCTCAATAAGTTCTTTTTCTTTTGCTCTTTCTCTGCAGTATGGGCAGTCCCAATTAGAAGTTTGGTTTGTAAATCACACTAACTGTAGTTATTGGATTATTATTTATAAACCCATAGTCATTGGATTTATTATCAGTTTATAAACCCATTATAAGTTTGTAAATCAATTATAAGTACACAAACCCATATAGTTATTGGATTTATAATTTTGCTAAACCAACTTCGCTATCCTTTGGGGAACCCCACCTTGTGGGTACCTTGGAATGCCCCAATTGAGGCCTTGGATGCCCTTGAGCTTTTCGAAAAAAAAAAACACGCCTGAAGGCCCTTCAGTGTGTGAGAAATACCCAAGGAGCCAAAACTATGATTCTTCAATGATCTTCAATGACTGTGGAAAACTACTCAGTTTACTCATCACTACTAAGCAGAAAACACTACTTGGATGGGCCATGGGATTAACTAAGTGGTAACTGGGGATTTGTTACCCCCTATATTCCAATGAAATAATCCATTTACTAACCACCAACCAGTGATTATTAACCATTATTAACCATTATTAACCATCATTAACCAGGGCCCATATAAGTACGTACTTAGTCATCGAAAAAACTCTCCCTCCATGGCCCGGTCATGGTGAAAAAACCTGGACCATCCTGGATCCCGCCTTGCAGCCGCATGCCACTTCCGCAAAGCGGGAGAAGTCCTGACAAACTCTGCTTAGCCACGTAGCCGTAGGACTCCTTACCATTGTTTTCCTACCATCCACCATGTTTGATTGCAAAATATAGCGAAATTACATGATTTTCTCATAAAAACAAAGGTCAAAATCATATTTTCGTTGATTTTCCCAGCTGTAAACCTCCATTTATAGATGATTTTCGAACATTTTCCCATGATTTTCCCATGAAAACCTCAATTTTTCTATGGGAAAACCCAGCACTTCGCCTGGATCAAGCGAAACGCCTCAGAGCGCTGCGCTGCAGTGGGCGACAGCGATGAGCCGTGCAGGCGCAGGGCGTCCCGGGAGGCCTGCGAACGGGGACAACAACTGGGAAGGATTTTCCAGTTGGAATAACTACTGTTACTATTGATAGTGATAATTTTCAAATAGCATTGATCTTCATATAATATGGTGTATATATATATGATATATATGATAGCCACCAAGCAGTATAATATAAATATGTATATATATACACCATATATATTTATATATATATAGTGATATTATAGTTAATATTAAGGGATAATTATGGTGTTTGTTAAAAACCCCAACCAGGGACAACTAGTGTTACTATTGATAGTGGGAATTCCAACTGGAAAATCAATAACTATCACTAGAATAATCAACTGAAAATCATTATATTGGAATTGGTAATATTAACTATATAGTGATAGTATATCAATAACTATTGAGAATTATTCAAATATAATGATAGTGATCGTAAGTATATTAACAGTGACGGTAACTATATGTCAACAATGATAGCGACTTTGTTAACTACAGTTAAAACGATTAGTTCAAGTTACAATAGTTATCTAGTTACTGTGAATCGTAAGTAGTTAAACTGGATAATCTTAATTCAGAAATGATGAATCGAGCCAACACAAAGTGATAGTGGTTGTGATTATTAGTCGGTGATAACTGGCGGATGATTAGCAATGATGAGTTAGAAGATTAAACAACAAAAAACGGTAAACGCATGATTCTATAATCAACAAGCACCACATCAACAACAAAAATCTAAGTCAAAACAGTATCAACAACAATAAAATTAAGCTTTACACTAATACCACTTGGTTTATAGATAATGGTTGCTATTAAATGTGTGTTTGCCGCCACTATTAACGTATACTATTTCTCTATCCAGGATATTGAACCAATCTAAATACCAAACAGTTTTCTTTCAAAGTAACCATTTCTATTCAACTAGAATGTTTGTTGGGAATAATGTGCGATCATTGTAAGCAGTAAATAGTGATAGGATTATCACACTTGAAATAGTAGTTATATCAGAATTCAAAGTGGTCCTTGGATGTCCTTGGTGTATCATTCTGGACCGCTTGCTCTCCAGCATTGTATAGTACAGATTTAAATGGAAAACCCGGCTGTAGCGCCTGATAGAGTCCATGTATCAAAATATTACAAAATATTGGTGCATGGAGTGCATGGATTAAATGGAAACTATGCTGATAGAAACTCCTGGAGTGCATGGATTCCATGTTTCTCGGCATTCCAATTCCATGCATAAGGCTTTACCCTCGCAGCGCCTGATAGACCGTCTTGACCTTCGCCATGCTTCGCCGTCAGCGGCTGTCAAAAGCCATCGACCCCATGGCATCCACGACCAACGTCGACGGTTAAATAAACAAAAAAACTACCCAACCTGGTTATGACATTCACAGTTTGCCATGGAACATATGGTATAGATGGCCCTAATCGAAATAGATGGTTTACCTGGGTTTACCTTTTAAAAATGGTGGATCTTGCCATGGCAAACTGTTAGTCATAACCAGATGGCATTATTCAAAGCCCAAAAGCTGTTTGAGGGGATTCTGGAGATCAACACATATTCAAAGATTCCAATATGTCTAAAACATTCTACCCTCTGGTAAACTAACATAACTATGGAAAATCACCATGTTCAATGGGAAAATCCACTATAAATGGCCATTTTCAATAGCTGTTGACCTTCCAATTTACCCTCCGGTTTTTGCGTGAAAATTCATCCTCCAAGATCCAAACATTTCCCTCGCCAATCCCTAGCACATGTTTTTCTCATGTCCGCATGGAACCTACAAAAAAAACAGGGAAGAAATCGAAGTTCAAAGTGCCTTTGGGGATGCAATTTGTAAATTTGTACCACTTTTAGGGGATGGATTGTTGACCCTCTTTGGTGGATCTTGCACCATCGGACCATTAGGCCAGGCTGAGAAATTCTCAACAAATCAGCGAGGCCATCTGCAAATGAAGTTTGGTTAGTTTTTTCTCCCAGTAGTGAAACCACAGACTGCCAAAGGCTTAGTTATGGTTAGTTTTTTTCTAAATATTTTTCTGCATGTTGAAAAATCTTGATGGTTTCAAGCGTTTCACTATGGCTTTCACTCTGCTCCATCCAATTCATCCAGAAACTGTAGCTGAAGTTCACCTTATTAGCATTTTGTTTATAGTAAGCCGCAAAAAATGCCAAAAAGTAATGACATCTCTCTCTTTAGGATTAAACTGTTCAAATCCTTTTGGGGATTGCGACTATTCATGTCTGGTTGTTTTGGGCTTCCACGTCGCCGATTGTGGTTGATCATTGGATCTCTCTCTCTCTCTCCTTTTTTGGCTTGGTTCGTATATAACGCCCTTAAAAACAGCGAAAGATGAAGTTGTGCTACAGTATCCTCCACAAAGGTTTACCCAAAATGTTGGTCCCCCATCACTTCCCATCTGTGGCGAGGCTCAGCACGATGTCCGCTCCAAGGAAGAACCTTAGACGAGAGAATCTGGTGACCCCTGTGGAATTCAACATGGAACCGTGGAACTTCGGTGTTTGGAAATGTTTGGACCATGATATTCCATGATATTCCCATATATGCTCATATGCTAAACCAAGGAAACATGGCTCAAACAAACAACATGTTGTGTTCACTCCCACAGGCATCACCAAGAGAGTTAAAGTGGTAGACATCCCATGCAACATATCTAGCAATTGGTACTAGCACCTCGCTAGCTTTCAGGTAAGATGGAACCCACCGAAATTTGGAGCTTTGTTTCTCCAGAACATTGGCCTCATCTGTGACACTGATTTCCCTCTGGTCATCAAATATAGCAACGGACATTTCCCCATTTATAGATGACATTCTCATGAAAACCTCCATTTATGGGGAATTTCCCATTGCTATGATGGATTACTATCCAGGATATATCCATCAACATCAAAAACAAAAAAAACGATCATTCATCATCCAATTGCTATCATTGTTTGATTCATTGTTTGATTACCATACCGGGTAGATTTTTGACCAGGAATGCACCGGTGAACCTGTGAAACCTGTGAAACCTGCGCCCCTTTTTCATCTGTGAAACCAGGGGCGTGAGATTGTTGTTGCTGTTATTTATGCGACATGATCCAACATTCCAACATTCCAAATAACACTTGTTATAAATATGACGATCTTTATTGTGACATGCCTTATGTATTCCCATCTATGTTTTCTTATGTATGTGAACATTTATGTCGTCTTATATATTCCAAAAATGACTGGGTAATGACAATGTTTGCTATTTGTAGGCCAGAACTTGACCATTTCAAATTTATAACTGTTGCTGTTGTTGTTGTTGTTGCTGTTGTTGATGATGATGATTTTATCATATTTTATCATAATTATCTGTTTTGGTTCTATTCCCATGGGCTTGTGGATAAACCCCCATTCTTGATTGTGATTATCCCCATTCTACTTTTTGGATTGGTGATCCTTGCCCCAACTGCCAAAAAAAAAAACTTATTACATATTATTACGTGCTGTGCTACGTGTGTGTAAATACACATATTCAACTGTTCAATCAAAACACGCCAAAAGAAGTACATGTCTGGGGCTGAAAATGCATCCAGACTGACCATGTCCCCATCACCTAACTTCGCCCAAAAGCTGGTTGATCTCTTCACAGCGTTGCCACTTGGTGCTCTTCTCACATTCCTCCGCGTTGAAGGATATCCAATTTTTTCGGTGGATGATTTTGGGTGAATTCCACCTTCACCAATGGGCTGCAACTTCAATACTTAACATTCAAAAACAATGATAAACCACTGATTGGTGGTTCAATTCATTGTTCAGTCTGATGTTCAGCATGTAAAGATGGGGTTTACCATGGGTTTACCATGAAAGCTGGGATAGGCGGTTAAGATAGTGCTTCGTTATGCTTGACCCTTTCACCCCCTGTGGTCATGGGACTGTTGGGATTTTGGGTCCTAAATTGATGGATGAACATTGGGGTACCAGCCAGCCCCTTGCTTGATCATCATGTTCACTGAAAAACTGCAATTTCGGGCAACCCTCTGGTAAACTGTTACATAACTATGGAAAGATCCACCATTTTCAATGGGTAAATCCACTATAAATGGCCATTTTCAATAGCTATGTTAAATTACCAGAGGGTATTCCCCATGTCCAAATCACCACTGTCATCTTCCATCCGCCCCGCCACCTTTTTCACATGAAATCTCTACAATTTCTGGCACTTTTTTAGCACTGTACTGTACAGTTTGGCCAAGACCCACAGAGACTTTCAAAGCCTGGAATTTCAACGGTTGGCCATCACCTCCAACACACCCCAGACACTGAAACCTCTCTGCGCATCGTGGTAGTAAAGCTCACCCCGACCAGTTGCGCGTTGATCGGATCTGATATGGGGCATGTTACACCTGAAAATGTTCACCATCCCACTGGAAAACGTGAAACTCAACAAGTGTCACTAAAAAATACATTTTACATCCTTTTACCATGTGGTGGTTTCCTGAAATGGAACCCAAGTGATCATGCAAGTCATAGGTGTTTACTGGGAAACCAAGGGTACGATTAAGGTGGTTGGCTTCATTGTTTTTCCATGGTTTTCCAGAGCTATCTGCTTGCTTCCTCCCGTCATCAACTGGTCAGTGCTCCGAGCGTCCACAAAACTTGCAAAGGCTGGTGCTGGTGTCAGGAGTGACAGCTGTTTTCACCAGATCTGGCTAAAATATCATGACGCAAGCTGAAATAGGTATATTTGTGGACAGTTACCCCTAACCATCAACTACCAACAAAGAGTAATGTAATGATAGTAGCTACAGTAGGGGGCATCATGTGGCACCAGCTGAGTAAAAAAAACACTATGCTGGTTGCTCGCCCTTATCATACCAGAATGAACTGTATATATACATCGCAGCTTGTTCAGCTCCACGTTATTTGTTGCTGTCACGCAAGCCAACAAACCAGCTCCGGGATAGCTGTTAGCTGCTGCTTCTGGCAGTGTCACATCCATGGGGGTAGCACCAATCAAGCTAAGCAATTGCTAGCTAAGAAGAGCACTTCACACACGGCAATGTATGCACATATGTACATATAATGTACGTCTGTCAAATTGTACATATAGACATATCGCCATCGCAAAACATCAACAAACAAATCCAACCAAGACTGACCCAGACCGCAGAAGCCAAGTTCCAAGGATTCCAAGGATTCCAAGCCCAATAAAAATCAACGCAACACATCTGCCCCAATTCATGTGACACCAGCTGCCCAGCTGCCAACATCGACTGGATAAATTCACAAACTGCGCTGTAGTCTCTCAGACTTGGTTGCTGGGAAAAAATGTGGTTGCCACCAGATTTTCTGAACCAGATTTTCTAATACTGGTGTGAGATGCTGTGAGCATGGCATATCATGGCATCATGTTTTCTTCCTGAAGTTTCCCATGCCAGAACTGGGTCGAGGGAAAAATTGCGGCATCAAAACAATTATCCAGCCATCAAAAAAGGGATGTCTGAACATGGAGCATGCTAGATTTGAATGTGATGGTTTATCATCAGTCAGTTTTCCAAAAGTTACAAAACATCCCCATTCAGGGTGGTACTTTTTTTTTTGACAACTCCTCCTTGGAAAAATCATATATTCCCTCAATCCCACAAACCCGCTATTCTTATCAGAGTATTTAGGGGTATGGATAAAACACAAACAAATGGGGGGTATCCTGAAATGAGAATCCCCAAAATGGATGGTTTGGGGATTCAAAACTCCAATGAAATTGGATGTTTATTACCAAACCTCCATTTTCCGCTTTTCCGCAACCAACAGGGGCCTAGTTTTTATCAAATTCATAGAATTGGATTATGGGAAAATTTACAGGAAAGCCCTATATTTGATGGTAAAAACCATGGTTTCCTGTAAATTTTCCCTTAAACCAATCCAGTGACAAATATTTTTTCACATGTTTTTCCCTAGGGAACCACTCCATGGATCGTCGCCACCGGTGAGACCACCGGTGAGACCACCGTCGAGACCGCCGTGCTCTTCCCGTCTTCGCTGTCGAGGACGTCGCATGGCGGGGCCACCACCCGGGAGACGCGGATGGTGCCTCTTAGCTGAAGAGGTCCTTCGGAAAGGGATCCAACTTGGAGGTAGTTTAATGGCGGTAGGAGTTGGAAAGAATTGGGGAATATACACATAACACAGACATATATATATATATGTGTGTGTGATCATATGTACACACACATATATTATATTATTATTATTGTTATTATTATTATTATTTAAATTGTTTATTCCTTGATTTAATTATATGATATGCATATATATATATTTATTTATCTATTTGTTTATTTATACTCATTAGATAATATAGTGTATAATATCCCCAGGTAATTGCGCAAAGGTCCAGACGACCAAACGACCTTTTGGGGAGGTGACCAAGGCAACACCTGCGAAGAAGCAACACTAAAGTGTTGAAACCGTGTCAAATAGATGTTTTTTGATGGGAAAATGGAGGTTTTAATGGGAAAACCATAGGAAAACCATAGGAAAACCATGGGAAAACCATAGGAAAATGGAGGTTTACCTATTAAACACGGTGATTCTCCAGTTCGCTATGGTAGTCATAACCAGGGGGTACTATTTTAAATAATTTTCTTGGGTGGGGATCATGATGGGATTTCTATGATGGAATTAATTGATGGTAACTACATTTAAATATACAGATTTTTGAATATACGAACAGGTCTTTTAGACTACCTCCGGGAAGGTTTTCCTTGGCCCGCCCAGCCATTTAAACATACGGAATCCAATTCATTTAAACATACTGCAACTACATTTAAATATACGAACTGGTATTTCATACTACCTCCGGGGCCTCGCGGTCTGGCCCGCCCTCCACATATTTAAATGTCAAGTACCCTCTGGTTATGTCAAAATAGCTATTGAAAATGGCCCATTTATAGTGGATTTACCCATTGAAAATGGTGGATCTTTCCATAGTTATGTAACAGTTTACCAGAGGGTAACCCCCCAACAGACGTAGCAAAAATAAATTAACCTCACCTTCCCTAGAATTTCAGAAACATGGAGTATGAAGCACATGCGTCGGCCACTCCTGTTTTGGCATCCTGTTGATAATACGTCGCCTCGGTGGCAGGCATGGGGGTCGAGGCTGCAAAACGGAATCTAATGCCGACGGAGGCATTGCGACCATCAATCATCAACAGTGGGCACATAACAAAAGAATGATAGGAGAACAAATCATCACTTGTCAGGAACTTGTTTGAGTTTGCGCGTGCAAACACCCCACTTGTGGTCGAACTAGTGGCCAGCAATCAATGTCCCCCAGTCACTTTACCCAAGTCATATTTCTTCGTTTTGTCAACATGTTTGTTGGTTGTAACATGTCACTGCCCTATCGGCCCTGGGCCGACTCTTTCCCTCTCTCTCTCACACCCGGTCACACCCCTTTCTGCTGGTTTGGTTTCATCCATTTTCATCCCCATATTGTTATATCCAAATGTTATCACACTGGTATGGATATTGTATGATATCCACATTATCCACATTGCTGTATTTTGTGTTGGTTATCACCGCTGTTGATATCCAATTATTCACCATGCGAATCTCCTTTTCTTGTTGGTCAGATACTGCTGCTTTTTTTTTTTATCAGCGGCTTCTTTACCATGGTTCAAATACTATTTTCCAGCTAGAGAAATATTACCACAATAGTGGGTAATAACCAGCTGGTTTGGTTTCCCCACATGTTCCCATATTATAATAGCTAAAGCTATTCTACCAAGTGGGGGGTGGGGGCCCCCAAACGATAGCGCGCTTGGTTTATAACTCCAATAACTGTGATTTATGGTACTGATAGCTACTTTATTCATGGGGTTTATAAATCATATAAATCAAATTATACCTTGGGGGCCCCGCATTGTACCAGCATATTTATATCAATATATCTCAGCAAAACCTAAATGATCTCAGCCTTCCAACCAGTTTTTTTTTTCAAAGAACTGTAAACCATCTGGAAAAGGTATACTTCTTATTGGGTTTGCCGCATTATATCATCGTATCCTCCAGAAAAAAACATGGCATCAGTAACTGAATTCATAGATTTTTTTCCTATTAAACCTCCAATTTATATATACTGGATTTTCCCCGTTTGAAAAAAGCTGAGCTAACCCTCCAAACCATAACAGAATTTAACTCAGCCACCCCCACAAACTATCCCATTACATCCAATAAATATATATATATATATATATCCATTTTGGGTTGACATGCTTGATGAGAAAACAGCTTGCTACCCCCGGCCAACCAAGCTATACCCAGCAAGTTGCCTCAATCTGCACCTGTCCGGCGTCCAGAAGCAATGTTCCCTGCACCTCCCTCGCTCGATCGCCGCCTTCGCGCCAGCGTAGCTCGCCGCAGGCCACACTGCTCCTTGGGACTTGCGAAGCATCGACAGACATGTGGATTTCAACCAGAAATTGAAATGCTCAATCCATCTTAATCCTGAAAAAAAAAGTGATGATTTCAATGTGGATGCCATTTCAATCTGGCAGAACAATGAATAACAAAATAAGTAATGAACAGCTTTGGGAAATCAGAGGTGAGCCAGCAAACATGGAGATCTGATCAACAAGTTGGCTTTGAAACATCAACGCGAATCAGACCAAGAAATTGGACAATATAAATACATATGGCAGTGTGTCAAAACCTTGTACCCCTGTAGTTCACATCAAAATAGCTGGTAAATGGATGTTCATTCCCCTAAAAATGGTATTAATAGATATTGATCCATACCCATATTAATAACCTTCAAGGAAAAAACAATACTGAACTTCCAAACATTATCAAACAATCATCAAAGATCATCGATGCGACTGTGCACAGTACTCAAAGATCATTTCGGCCCGGCGGCCCATTCAGGGTCAAATCCTAAGAAATGTGACATCTAACCCCGAAAAAACATCAAAAATGAGCAGAGCCCACTATTTTGATGTAGATCATCTACCCTCTGGTAAACGTTTACATAACTATGGAAAGATCCACCATTTTCAATAGGTAAATCCACTATAAATGGCCATATTCAATAGCTATGTTAGTCACTGTTAGTCATTACCAGAGGGTAGATCATCTACCCAGCAAAAACCAACAAGACGTGTTCCACTTAAGGCTCATCTTTTCAGCTTTGGCCCAACATTTGCTGTTTCTTTTTTTCAGGTCAATTGGACCGAAAAATCCTCGGGTAATCAATGGTGGCTTGGTCGCTGGCTCGTCAAAAAATGGCGGGATTTTTCAGCAATCCATGCGTAATGCTTACCATCTGGTTGTGACTAACATAGCCATGGAAAGATCCACCATGTTTAATAGGTAAACCATCTACAAATGGGCCATTTTCCATGCCTATATGTTAAATAACCAAATGGTAGATCTGCATTGACATAAAAATGATCATAACCATATCTTCGCTGCTTCAACATTCTGTTGCTGAAGTTGAAACCCTCCCGTAATCCATCCAATTACCTTTGATGGGCACTGTTTCCCACCAGATCTTCCACCTTTCCATGCGGGTTTGTCTGAAAAGTTAGGGGAACATCACCTATATTTGATGATTAATCACTATTTCCCCTACGGAAATTGCAATGAATGGGTATACATCTTTTTCCATAGCAAACCCAATCCAAATATCATATCAGGTTGGTTATCTATCCCATGAACAATCCACTAGACTATGTATATTTATATATAAATATATATTCCCATTAATTCATTCTTAGTGATGTTAAATAAGCATAAAATAAGCCACGTTCCCACCATTTCTGCAACCCTTCAAAAAAAAAAATCCTCTACAAAACCCAGAATTTCATGGTGATTGATCGATCGATTCATCACTATTCCTACTCAAATTACTCATCCATGGCCACAGAAATTCCGATCCATTTTCCCCATCAATCCAGCCAGCAAAATCTGAAAATCCCTCCAGCCTTTCCCCCACAGTGATAAACGTTTTAGCCTCCGTTGTGGGCACAAAACGAAAGCTATGGAAAATGATCCATAGAAATAGATGATTTACATAAACATGATGATTTTCTACAGCATACTGTTAGTTTACCAGAGGGTTTTTTGCCATTAAATATAACATTAATATCCCATATATATATATATATCCCATACTCATCCCATGATTATCCCATGTTGTTCTTATTAAACCATATAAATTATCGGAGGGATCCGATTTCGCCATTTTCTCCCAGAAACATTCGCAACTTTCCCTGGACTTTCATCTCCGCAATGTCTCCATTGCGTGGCCGCCAGCTTTGGCCCCTCAAGCGCCCGTCGCTCAGAACCTCCACAAGATACCTGGAAAATGTGGAAATAACGGTGGTCAACAGGTTTGGGGGGAATTTGATTTGAAGTTTGTTGTTAGGATGTTTTTGATGTTTCTAGAGGTGTTTTTTAATGGTTTTTAAACGTGTTTAGATGTTCAAAAGGGTGTCAAAAGGATACAGTTGATGAATGTAAGTCGATATCAACTTTAGTTATATCATGAGAAAAATGTATGCAGTTTCCACAATCATTTCATATCAACATGGCAAGTTCATAGTGACGCTCAATGTCAGAATGATCAGAATAACAATGCTAATAAATAAGAATAAAAAAGAAAACATAGCAATGCATGTCATTTCTGCGCAAAAAATGCTGTGGAGGTCTATTTAACCTGCCTAGATCTGTACAAGTTGGTCATCTGAAACCTTGATGTCATCGACATAGTCCTCTGCATGAGTTACCTTTCCTGCCTGCTGGTATCTATTGATTTCATACTCGTTCTGCTAAACATTGACAGCTAATGTGCTTCTTGGCAACCTCTCAATATTTACTTGGGTATGTGACGGTATGTGTTGCATGGCAGCGGTTTGATGTTTCTTGACCTCCAAAATTGGATGGTGTGAGATTCTTGCAAAATAGCGATTCGCAGGCTGATAAACAATTCTACAATGCCGCGCTCTTTATACTCCTTGCTGTTCAATCTCCAAAATATGCGTCATCATGATGATTCCTTGTTGGCTCATCTCCCCTATGTGTTATCTAAACCCTCATGCTTTTCTCATGAGAATCACGCAAACTACCCCCAAGACCTGCTACTTAAACTTGGATTTGCTTAACCCCGGAGAAATAGAACATCTTGCCTATAGATTTCCCTTGGTAGTGGATTTCCCATTGGAAAATTCAGAAATCATCCACTTAGCAAATCCAAGTAATGTGGGTAAAACAATAACACACCATCCCCCTGTTATCACTACAAATAGGTGGTATGTTTACCATTCCCAGTCATGGGTGGTTTATGGCATTGTTTTACCAACATTATATTAACATAGCTATGGAACATGTCCCATTTACAGATCATTTTCCCATTAAAACCTCCATGTTTAATGGATTTTCCATAGCTATGTTAAATAACCAGATGGTATCCTCTGGTAATTTAACATAGCTATTGAAAATGGCAATTTTATAGTGGATTTTCCCATTAAAAATGGTGATTTTCCATAGCTATGTTCCAGATGGTAATTGTTTTAGCCACATGAAATCCCCATTCCCCGCCTCACATGTCCCACGCGCTCGGATGGGTCGTTGGGCTGGTCGTTGGGCCCCGACAGTTCCAGCTGAAAGGGTGGAAGTGGAAAGTGAACCGACTCCTCCTCACAAACGAAAGGCAGGAAACATAGGAAACCCGCAAGAATGAGACATTTCTGGGTGTTGTAGGGTGGTTTTATGGCACAGAAACAAGAGCATTTCAGGGTATGATGATGAATTTGAGTATTCGCTTCAGCAAATTAAAGAGCAATCCCATCTCCCTGAATGATTAAAGCATGATTGGATAATGAGTAAATAAATGAATTAGCTAATGGTGGGTAATTAGTTATTTGACCCATTCTACCCAAATTTCCATTCCTGGCAAAGTTGATTAGTTCAAAAACCCAACAATCTCCCGCAAAATGTTCATAAATTCATCTCGAATCTCAAATGGTGGGTTAGTAGTTTTGAGTAATCCCGTCGCCTAAATAAAGATCTAAATCATTATAAATCCAACACATTCCACCATGGTTGTGCTTTTTTTGGGGGTATTTTTCATGTTGCGGGCAAGGGATTATAGTTCACTAACAATCATATTCCACGCCCTCAAAGGTTTACCCAAATCATAGAAGCATCGTGATTGATTATTTAATCCGTTGATGTGATGGCAAAAAAAAATCGGCAGATGACCATGTCCCAGCAGTAACGAACCGCATCAAATACCATCTGGTTATTTAACATAGCCATGGAAAATTCCCCAGGAAACCACTGCAAAACTTTCCAATGAAAAAGGTGCCTGGCTTATGGGTTGATGATGTTCCTTTTTTCTCATTGGGAAGACACCCTTTCTTTCCCTCATGAGTTGTTCACAAAAAAACCCTTCGGTCCTGCCATCGTAAACGCCAGGCTCCTTAGCATCGTGGTATACCATGGCTCAGCACCAAAAAAAACATCGGCATCATCGACACAGGTGATCATTCAATCCCACCAAGCCGAAACTAGTCCCTACTTAGAAGGGCCATGCGGCCATGGTTCGTTAGTTGAGGATTAATTAGTGAAGGGATTATATACAATTATTGGCTGATTGGTGGTTTCAACCCCCCCGAAAAAAAATAGTCAGTTTGATAAGATTATTCCCAATAATAATATGGAAAAGTAAAACATGTTCCAAACCACCAAGCATTTGGGATAGTGCGTGGTGAAAAAAACCCACTAAAACCTAACCACTTGTGGCTAATCCTGGCCATCCAAGTAGACCCGTCGCATTTTGAATCCATTTTTCAGATGGGATTTAGGGATCCTAAATACTTCCTGAGAAGGGCCATAAATAGTCCATAAATACCTAAATCACAGCACAAGAATTCAATATCTATCTCCGTCAGAGGGGCCTCCCACAGAAGCCTAATAGGGATTTTTATAGATCAGAACTTGGTTTGATCCCATCAACTAGCTCGATATATCTTCCACTCAGACCCTAGTTATGATAGATATAAACCAACTTGCTAACAAAAATCAGTCACATGAACTATAACTCCAAATTTGTGCTGGTAAAATCACCATGTTGTGTTGGTGAAAATTCCCGCGTGTTTCTTCGTCAAAACCCACCGTTCGTCACATGGGATGAGTTCCCCTCCGCGACTCCAAGGCGCGGGACTCTTCGAACTCCGAACGCATCTCAGCGCGGAGCAAACACATGTAGGCTGCCAGCATAGATAGTAAGACCACGGCCAACAGAAGGGCTGCCAGGTAGCCACTGTAACCACTGCCACTGTCTGAGATGTCGAGAAACGCAAAAAATAAACAGTGTCAAAGGAGCATGGTAACACATGGAAACATGTGTAGTAACATATCTGGTAACATATTTGGCAACATTGAGATAACATCCAGAATATATACTGGTGATATAATGGAACATCCTGAAAATCAACTGAGAAGTTTCAAGAACCGGTTGGAAAGTTCCGCCAAAGAATGGTGATACAATGGCATATCATGGATATAACAATCCCCCAGAAATGGCATATCATGAATATAACAATCCCCCAAAAAGGCATATCATGAATATAACAATCCCCCAAAAATGGCATATTATAAATATAACAATCCCGAAAATTGTGATTTTCCCATCAGTTTTGTGTATGTTGAACCCAGATTATTTACCGATTGGGAAATCCCACATTCTTTGCACACGGAGGTGTGACATGGTGGAAGCTGCCCACACATGTAGCACAAAAACGCACGGGTTGGATGCGTGAAGATTGGGAAAAAAGGCAATTGAAAACACACAACATGCAAAACATGCAAAAAGTTCCCATCTGGTTATTTAACATAGCCAGTAGCCATGGAAAATTGCCCATTTATAGATGGTTTACCTATTAAAAAATGTGATTTTCCATGGCTGTGTTAAAAAACCAGAGGGTATTCCAAAAGGTTAGTCCAACAAAAATGCCACATGATGCCACATGTCAAAAAAATATTCCAAAAAATTGGAACACCCCAATGTGGCAATCTTCATACGGAAAATGATAAATACCCTCTGGTAAACTAACATAACTATGGAAAATCACCATTTTATGGCTGGGTATATCAACTATTTCTATGGCAATTTTCGCTTTTTGTATGTTTACCAGAGGGTATATGTTATTCTAAGGGGCGCCCCCCCTGTGCAAATCTTCACTCGTCTCGTAAAACGACACGAGTGGAGTCTCCATCTTTTTTTGGGGGTCATCCCAGCACTCGGCCGTCATGACTTAACTTCATCACCCATCTAACATCATCTAACTACATACGGTATATAATTCTGTGTGTATATATTACAAATATATAAATATGTATATATATATGTATATATATGTATATATATATATATATATGTATATATATATATCTTCCATAAACCCACAAGTAGCTTATGGGTTCCTGTAAGCTATATTTATAGTGAGACGGGCGATGAGTTGGGTTATAACTCCATCTAACTATAGCTAGAATCACTATGAACCCTAGTCAACCTAATTCTAAACCCAGTTGGCTAAGTAGGGGGCACCATGTTGGTGAAGAAATCCCTCATTGTGGTTGGTGGCCTTGTTTTCCGCCGACGCATATCACACTGATGGTTCTCCAATCAATATCAACATGGTTGATGTTATACCCCAATTCTCCCACATTACACCTACTATTGGGAGATATTGGGAGGGGTTCTTCAGACCCATGCTCATCATTGATATTCATTGCTTCAATCTGAAATTATGACGGTCAATACCTTAGAATTCTTGGATGCAGCTTGCGGTGCTGAATGTCAAATCACTTGCGCTTGCCGCCGCCGGCATGGCGTGACCGCGACGCCAAAAACGAAACCGTCCCAACCGTCCTGTACGGATCCCTGGGACGAAACAGCTGCAAACGTCCGGACTTTCACGTCCTGTACATCCTGTGTGCTTCTCATCTGGCAATATACACTCATGGTTTGCTTTGGAAATCACATTTTTTTGAAATATAGGTAAATCATCTATGGTTTCGCTATCGTAAATCAGTTGATTCATCTATGGTTTGCTATGGAAATCAACCATGGCCCATTGGTAAATCATGGTAAATCCGCATGTTTGTCATCAAATGGGCCATGGTTTCCAAGCTGCAATGGGTCCACGCTTGAAGGTGATGTTCAATTACTCAGATTGGCCATGGTTTATTTGTTAAGTATAGTTCGTACCCTCTGGTAAGGTAAACTAACATAACTGTGGAAAATCACAATGTTTAATAGGTAAATCAACTATAAATGGGCCATTTTCAATATCTATCCTTGTTTACCAGAGGGTAGTATCCCATTATCATCCCATTATTCACCATTGTTAACCATTAAATCTGGGTAAATTATAATATTTCACCAACCTGAATTAAGGCCATTTGGGGACGATTCCCCTTATTAACCATGATTTCCAGTGAGGTCGCAGTGAGGTCGTTATAATTTACCCAGGTTAAATCACCATCTATAGTGGTTAAATCACCATTTTCATAGACTGCAGTCAGACCGCACCTCCAGCTTCAGAGATGGCAAAGAATTCATCACCGTATTGAAGGTGGCGAAGAGGATGAAGGATGTGGAAATGAACCTGGAAAATCATGGCAACTTTACTAAGAAACATTAGGTTTAATATGGTTGAATCAGAAGAAACCATAGAAAAACATGAGGTTGAAGCAAACACTAATCAAAAATTGAGCATGATAAATTGGAAAACACTGGGGTTTAACCAGGAAAACTTGGAAAACAATTGGGTTTAATCAAAGAAAATGGAACGCCATTGCATTGAGCCCGTGGATCTAAGCAATAAAAACTGCGGATATACCGCTGCAACCGATGGTATCACTGGGATTGATGGCGTATAAAACCAAACAAAATGAACATAACATATAGTGGATGGCATGGTAAATTTATGAACATGTATATGATACTTGGTCTTGTCAAAGAACTTACAATTTTACCTCATTTTAATCAAACATATCTAAAAGCCATTCTCATGGGGACTATGATGTTCCAACGCATGGGACATTTCAGGGGCAGAAAACTGTTCCGGCTGAACTTGGGCAAGTTTGGAGAGCTGGTATTGGCTTCTCTGATCCGCTCCCAATCCACGCTGCTGGATATGTGTATCTGAGTGTGGCTAGTACATGTGGGAACCTCCAATTTGTTGGTTCAATTACAAAACATATCGTATATAATTATAGACGATATATCTATGCAAATAATATATAAATATATATGTACAGTACATACCAAAACCCTTAGTTAACCTACAAACAAACCTAGCCACGAAACGGGGAGCACAACAAACTGAAGGAAGTGGGCAAGGGCATCTTATCCTAAAGTACTTCTAAGATCTGGCGATAGAAGGCTGTGGCCCCGGCAGTCATGTTTAAATGGAAAGCTCCTTTTAATTACTATTGATATCTATTGATATATCGTCTGCTAATCATTGCCATGGCTGGCCCGGAAGACCTTTACAGTTGATTTCCCTATCAAAATCTCTGTTTATGTCGTATCCGCCATGATAATATGTGGAAACACATGATGTCAGTGAATTCAACCAACCGAACCAAGCTGCAACTTGTCCAAGCCAAGACACCGCAGCAAATGGTACATGTGCGGCCTCTGCATCGATCGGATACTTTTTGGTGAGCAGTGGAAATCTCCGTTTTCAACAAATGGGGCAAGGTGCCAAGAAACAGCAAAACGTGCTGTCGCCAGTGTCAATTTCTCGAATTTCCAGGGAAGCCAAGAGAAACCACCCCAGTGATGAAAACTCCGCAGCTTCGCTTCGCAAGATCCGAGCCAAACCTCCATGCCAAGCTGCGCAGACTGCCTCTCTTTCTCGGACAACAAATGCGAGTACAGCAGTCCAAAGCCGCTGCTTCCCTGCACTGCACGTAGGTTTAAAGATGACCGGTAGGGGTTTTCGTTTGGCTCAAAAATCACAGCTGGAAATGGACCAGCTTTTGTGAACAACATCTGAGAATATGCCACCAAGCACATCATTCAGGCTGAAGGATGATTTTTGTCCCGCTTGAGATGTTTATCAAGGGCTATTTCACCCCCAACAACCACTATTTTTCGGGCTCATGATCTTTAGCCATGCTACTATTGTAAGGCTACCATAGGCTACCTGAGTCACCTGCCTGGCAGGGTAATCCTCATGGCTCTTTTGATGACTCTTCAGCTAGGCAGCTAGGCCTGAGCTCAGCCTTTGCCGTGGCATCTTGGGCCGTGGCAAATCAGAGTCGGCTGGCACGATGGTTCGGAAGACTGCTGCTTTCAGTTCCTTGACTTCGGCTGACAGGCTGACATCAGGCTCAGCTTGGCAACTGCGATCAGCTGGTGTTGGGGGTTCCCGTCGCGGATCCATGCCGCTGATTTTGACACCATGGCGAGCCCAAAGTCTGTGCATCCCGTGCTTGTCGAGATAATTTCTTGGATGAGTTGTTTATGGGCACAAGGCCGTGTGTTGGTGGTAGTAAAGTTGGAACCATCAACTATCTGGGCGACCTCGATAAATTTACAGGGTGGTGCCCCCGAATCTTACTGTTAACTTGCTAAATTTCACGAACAAAAGTGTTGAGCTTGCAGTAGATAGGTGAAACATCACTGGAGGGGCGGAGGGGGCACCACCTTGGAGGATGACATTACCATTCCCACCAGTTTTTTGGGGTCCAAAATGGAAACAACTACAAACATTCAGAACAATCTCATCACGTGGGAGCATTGCAAAATAAGCAGTGTTCAACACATGTCAAAACTCTCAGACATCCATAATGTTGGGTAAATTATTTATAATATTTCACTAACCTGAATTAAGGCCATTTGGGGATGATTTCCCTTATTAACCATGATTCCAGTGAGGTCGCAGTGAGGTCGTTATAAATTACCCAGATAATGTTTCATAGGGGTTTCTGTATTTAGTCATAACACAGCCCCCACGAAAAGATGTTTTGGTCACTGCTCAACCGGTGCTTTTGCACTGAAACCCATCTCTTCACTGTCTCGAGACTGGTTCACCACTCCCCAATATAGATCATATCCCATAGGATCCATGGTGCTGCTATATATGGTAACATGGATCCCATCAATATACCCCCAATGTTAGCATATATACCAGCACCATGGATCCTATGGGTATAGTCTTTCTGCATATGGATGTGTTTTCTCTGGACCAGAAACACCCTCCGCATCTGGTTATTTGAAGCGCCAGTTGATAAACCTGGCAGGTTTGAAGACACCCCCAAACTACCTATACCATCCTATACTTGTGTGACATTGAACGAAATAATGACGTCAAATGACACTCCGCCAGTATGATGCAGATTGATATAGTGTTACTATGTGATAACAGTTATCATGGAGTAACACATATCCATTACAGTGTATCTCGATAGTGTATCACATATAGTTACCATTTCCCACCAAATTCACCAGTTTTGGAGATAACAACTTAACCTACCAGGGATGGTCAACTCACACGTACATTGCTGACTGAAGGACCGCATACTTTTCACATTTTCACATATGTTCACCATTTGCTCCACGTGCACCAACATTACCTAATACATTTGTATCTTAACAGCAGTATCCTTTGTATATTGTACCCTCTGGTAATTTGTTACATAGCTGACATAGCTATTGAACATGACCTTTAAAATTTAGTTCGTTCATTTACCTATTCAAAATGGTGATGTTCTATAGTTTTTTGTAAACGTTTACCAGGCCGGGTATATCCTTCTTGACGATTAATCCCCGAAATCCCTGATATCCAGCCATTTCATCACTGGATATGTTTACCACACAAATTTCATTTTAGTTCAGTTAAATCACTTCAAATACCATTAAACATCATTAAACATCATTAAACATCATTAAACATCATTAAACATCATTAAACATCATTATAAACATCATTAAACATCATGATTCACATAGCATGTTTTGGACCATTCAACATCGCACGTCTCGCACGACGTCGTTGATCTCGCCTTGTAGCGCAGCTGCCAGCGATGCGCTGCCAGGTCCCCGATGCGGAAGACCTGGAGAAGTCCGGAAGTGGCTGTGAGTTACCAATAACCATAGTTACCCTCTGGTGAACATACAAAAAGCTATGGAAAATGGCCATAGAAATAGTGGATTTTCCCATGAAAAATAGTGATTTTCCATTGCTATGTTAGTTCACCAAAGGGTAAACATTAACCATACCCAGAGGATCCATGGTGCTGGAATATTTACCTACATTGACCCCTAAAGTAATTTAAAATAATCCCAAGGTAAATATTCCAGCACCATGGATCCTTAGGGATAGTTAAACATTGACATGGTAGATACAAACGGTAGATAATTGGTAAATATGAATGTCTAAATAAGGATATAGTAGGTGAATAATGATGTTTAATGGTCCTTGATATGGTATGTGAATAATAGTTATCATCATTATTCACCTCGTAACAAATGATAGATATGAAAGATGTAGTTACGTGCTGTTAGTAGCCAATAACCATAGTTTTATACCTTAGAACTAATAACCAATGTTTTCACAATAAGCAATAACCATAGTTAACCATGTAACCAATGAACTATATTTAAATTCATATGGGTTTTGGTTGTGAAAGCTATGTAGTTAACATTGATTATGACCATAGTTGTAGATAATGGGAGATAATGGAGAATATTTAACCATAGTTTAAACCATATTATGACCATAGTGAATGCTAGATGATATGGCAAACTATGGTTTACTTAAATGTTTACAACTAGCTGGATATTATAGTTGATGTTAATAGTTTTGGTAAATAA